CCTGGAAACCCAGCTCCACAGGGTGTCATATAGCAACCTGGCTAACATTAAATTTCCAGCATGAGGGGAACGGCCACACTGTGCATTCAGCCCTAGAGAGCTGCTGAGGGGCACAGGGGATGAGCTGCTTATGTGGAATTCTTCCATTCTCACCCTCCAAAATAGTGGTGAAACAGAGAAACATAGAATGACAGCATCACACTAGATCATCTGGAGGCTATGGCAGTAGTAAATATTAATTCAATATTTTTATACAGTAATACATGGTTTTGTGTCCTTGACAATACCTAGTGATTGTGCACACTTACTCTAATGCTAACTAAAAAAATAACAAGGGGTTGTTTCAATTACATAGGCAAATAGTAAACATGTAACTCAAAACTAGTTCCATTATAAGCCCATTAAAATGAATTTAGTAGTTTTCAAAGCATCACAATGAGAAACTAAAAGAAACATTTTTAAGGTAATTTACCTTGGAAACTTAAGTTTATGAGATTCTTTCATCAAGTAGGTTAAGCATACCTTTACTGTCTTGATTATTATTTAAGAACTCCAGCTAATTTAATTTCCCCAAATAGGCGTAAGAGATTTCTGCTTCTCTATTCCAGTGTTGGGAAAGATTTCTTCAAATAAATGAAAATACATTTTCTTACAGCTTTACATTCTTCCTTACACATTTAAATATTGTTTATACTCTTAAATCAATGAGAATTTGTAATAAATATTTCATTTGCTCAAAGCAAAAAATGGAAACACTGATTCACCAAATGATCAACGCTCACTTTTTTTAATCCAAACACTTTTATTTCTCCAAAATTGGGAGGTACCAGTGGGAAGCATGTTCACTTTCCAAATGAGAATTGCATGGCATACACATTCTCTTATCTAATTCATCAGGACGCCCACCCACTGGCACTGAAAAGCTGTAATCCCAGCAAGCAAGAGCCATACCCGTGTGCATGCACTCATGTGAAAATATCACACACACTAAATTGCATTGAGGCCGTGACAACATGCAACTTAGTAATGTGCAATATCTCCACCAGAGCAAGCAGAATGGGAGCATCAGGGAAGAAGGGTGTGATGTATACATTCAGGAGACAACATGCTGCTAAAGAGAGGAAAATGGTCTGGGGATAAAGGATGCATGCCACTGACTCAAAACTTCATGAAATGAAAACCCAATTGCAAATGTATTCAACTGAGAAGAATACTTATTCAGATTCAAAATAATGAGTAATGTTCAAAACTTCAATGAGATAGTGATCATAAAGAAGCCACATACTTCAGAAGGCAAAGCTTCACGAGCAGACACTTTCACTGTCTGGTCATGCAATTAACACCCAATTTCAATTCCACTTTTGACTTATTCACAGATCATAAAAATGAATGTAATGATTTCCACTTAGCTGCAACATAGATGATGATTAATGACTGATGCTTATAAAAGTTGGTATCACTGATATTTGTAGGCTAAACTGCACTTTGAGGACATTACAGTATTTTCAGAGTCATTTATAAATTATAAATCATAACCACTTATTTTTCCCTCAAAATCTTTTTCCATGAAGAAACATATTGCCTCTTCAACACAAACCTTCAGGATGAAAAATCCAACAGGAGCTCTTAGAGAACTCACTACCATCTTCTCCACAGGAGAAAGCTCTTCAGAGGAATCTCTATAAAACCTGTACCTTTCAAGTCTTGAATTTGCGCCAGTAAAGAAACAGCCCTAGGAACTTAAATTACAAAAAAAAATCACCTTGAATTACAATCTTAAAATTATATAACTTGATATAGCTTTGGTTAGAAAAATGGCTCAGGCCATAACCCATTTAGTCTGTACCATATTTATCAGATTCATAAAAATCTATCAATTCTGAGAACCATTCAACTATAGTTCTGGTACCAAAGGTTGTTAAATTTTTTTCTGTATTTAAAGTAAGGTGATAATAAAACAAATGGTTTTTAAATTCCAGTATACTATGGAACCAAGACATGAGCTACTGTTATAATACATAATTAGTGTGTGCACTCCCAAGAAGGTAAGTCAAATCTAATTTGTAAAAGACCGATTTCCTCATATCCCTGTAGATGACAGCACTCTTTCTAATCTCAAATTCTCTCCTGAGCCAAAGACCTGAATTTCTAAGTGCCACCCTCTTATGTCCACAAATATAAGTCATGATCTTCCCTAACCAGCTCCTCTTGAAAGAAGGCATCATGGTGTAACAGAATATGTGCTTTCAATCAGCTGAACCTAGGTGTGACTAACAGCTTTACTTACCACTGACTGGCAAACACAACATCTAGGAATTAAGTTTAAAACAAAAAAGGTGGCATATTTGGTAAGAAAAAAAGTGACAGACATTTAGAGGATGGTCTGCTCTAAGAAAGCAGAACAACAGAAAATTCAAAACTGTGATGTGAAAATAGAAATATTTTTCTAAGAATAAGAGTCAGTAACAATGAAGGTTACTTGAGGAAAATGGAAGCATCATCTTTCCTGAAGTTCTTTATGAACAAGGTAGATATTTTTCTGCAAAGCTTGGCTTAAGCCACACTGACTGGAGAATTCCTACCAGCCTTTGATATGGCTGCTCCAATAGCTTTATCCTATTGGGAAGATAAAAGATTAGCTTTCCTTTTTGGTACAGCATTTGCAAAAGCTTTTTTGAGTCAGAAAGATCCTAGATAAACAAAGATAATCTATTGCTAGAATTTTCATCATTTCATTTATTCAGTAAAGATGATAGTCAATGGTCATATAGGACTTAGGAGGGAAGCTATAGCCGGTACTTCCTTCAAAACAGCTTCACCCCAAATGCTGTTACACTGGATAATATACTCCGAAATCTGGAATCTTTACAGATGGCCCCCATGCGGATACCTGAGGGCACTATATAGGTGTTAAGAGCATTTTTTTTTAATCCCACTTGATAGCCAATCGCACAAACAAGGTATTGGTGAAGACCTTATCCAGGCCTTGCTAGTAGGAAAAGGGGAGAGAACTTAGCAAAAGTTATACAGACATCATATTTTAGGAGCATGCATCCTGTTTGAATGTTAACTGAAGGTTTTCTAACAATCAAAGTGGGATTCTCACTAGCTATTACATGAACACAGTGAAAAAATAAACCAAGATCAATAAGATACAATTATCAGAGAAAAAAAAGAAATCAAGATTTCTGTGGAAGACTAGTTCCAGACAATGGTATTTATTAAAAGTATGTGGAGACAGAAATGCCAGCCAAAGATTCACTATTCAAGAGACACTTAAGACTACCTGGTTAACAACATATTAGAAAAAGGAGCTCTAATGGACAATAGGAGGGTTTAATTTGAGATGTATGCATAAGAAGTAAAAATGTAGTTGAGTCTTGTTAATGAGCAATGAGAACAGGGGTTGGAAGAGGGGCTGAGAGAGGCCTGCTCTGCAAAAGGGCCCTCCCTACCAGAAATGATGAAGAGGAAAAGATAAAGGAAGTCAAGAGCCAATGACCTGGAAAGAGCTTATAGGGAGGAAAAGTTGAAGTTCATTCAGAAACCAAGCCTGTAAATACATGGATGCCAGAAGTCATAATGAAAGTTTCTGGCCAGAACCTCCAGTGCATACAGAGCCTATAACTTAAGAGATAAACAACGATTCTGCATTTCCAGTATCCAACCTACCCCTCGCGGAGGGCACAGCTTGGCTTTAGGACAGAGGAGAAACAGGAACGCCACCTACTCTCCTTCTGGAGCAAAGCTAGAAATCCTGACAGCAGAGGGTTCTGAAAGAAGTTGGAGATGGGGGTGGTGGAAGCGGGGGTTCTCTTAAGCAAGTGACATGATGCTAAGAGCTAGTCTAAGATCCTGCTGATGGAAAGCTGATGGAGATAGACCATTACATCTTTGTAAATCACAGGTTTGAGAGAAGGTTATCAAAACTGCTTTGAATTGTTAAATTTTGTTTTGTTTTTGAGACAGAGTCTTACTCTGTTGCCTAGGCTGCAGTGCAGTGGTGTGACCAAGTTCACTGCAGTCTCCATCTTCCAAGCTCAAGCAATCCTACCACCTCAGCCTCTTAAGTAGCTGGGACTACAGATGCACACCACCATGCCTGGCTAATCTTTTTTATTTTTAGTAGAGACAAGGTCTCACTATGCTGCCCAGGTTGTCTCAAATTCCTGAGCTCGAGCAATCCTCCTGCCTTGGTCTCCCAAAGTGCTGGAATTACAGATGTGAGCCACCACACCCGGTCTGTTTTTTTGTTTTTTAAGAAACAGGGTCTTGGCCGGGCATGGTGGCTCATGCCTGTAATCCCAGAATTTTGGGAGGCCGAGGTGGGCAGATCACTTAAGGTTAGGAGTTTGAGACCAGCCTGGACAACATGGTGAAACCGAGTCTCTACTAAAAATACAAAAATTAACCGGGTGTGGTGGTGCACGCCTATAGTCCCAGCTACTTGGGAGGCTGAGGCAGGAGAATCACTTGAACTCTGGAGGCAGAGACTGCACTGAGCCAAGATCACACCACTGCAATCTATCTCCAAAAAACAAAGAAAACAGGATCTAGCTCTGTCACCAAGGCTGGAGCGCAGTGGCGTGATTACAACTCACTGTAACCTCAAGTTCCTCAAGCAAGCCTCCAGCCTCAGCCTCCCAAGTAGCTGGGGTTACAGCTGCATGCCACCAAGCCCAGACAATTTTTAAAATTTTTTTTATAGAGACAGGGTCTCACTATGTTGTCCAGACTGATCTCAGACTCCTCGCCTCAAGCAATCCTCCTGCCTCAAGCAATCTGAGTGGCATGAGCCACTGTACCCGGCCTGAATCTTTTTCTTATTAACAACTGCACTGTGCATATTTATCCTCTCAAAATGAGATGAAAACCTTGAAAATACCAGAGTCCTTCAGAGTTTAGCACTGAATGTTATCAGGATGCTCATGACAAAAAACAGGCTTATCATGGAAAAAAAATTCTGGGAGAAATAAGAATAGCATAAACCTTATCCCTACCTGATAGCTTCTTCCACAGACTGGCCAATAATATTAGAAGAAGGACCTGGCTGAGATAGTGGAGTCAGGCTTATCACCCACTTCACTGGCTTGTAGTACTCATCACTGGAACTTAATAGATAAAATAGTGTGGTCAGGAAAATTATCTGCAAAACAAAGGACAATATCTCCTAAAAAAAATCGTATTTGGAAACTATAGGAAGACAGACATCTGTAATTGCAAATGAAATCAGAAATATGCTTTAACAAGGAAGGAAGTGTGAGGTGTACTTATCTATGTGGACATACCAGAGAAAGTACAAAATTGAGAAGGGCTGTCCCGCTGTAGAAGAGGATGGTCAAGAGTGTAGTGACAGTGGTGAAGAGCAGGCTCACATTCCGGCTCATAACGATCCACAGAGACTCCAAGATCTGGCGAGGAGGAAAAGCTGGATATCAGAACCAATCCTCATGAAAAAAGTTTCTACAGCCATCTAGTGTGCTTTTAATACAGTGTTTTAGTAACATGAACTGAAAAGCTAAGAACTGAGGATTACTTCAAATGAAAAATAAAAAAATTAAAAAATAAACCACAAACAGTTGTATAATCAATAGTAAAGAAAATGGTGAATCCACACCAAATAATATAGACAGCCATTAAAAACATCACTGTTATAACATGGTAAAATATTTTACAATAAAATGCTAAATTTAAAAAACAGGATTAAAAATTTTTATATATAATTGGTGGGGCATGGTGGCTCATACCTGTAATCCCAGCAATTTGGGAGGCTGAGGCAGGTGGATCACCTTAGGTCAGGAGTTCCAGACCAGTCTGACCAACATGGTAAAACCCTGTCTCTACTAAAAATACAAAATTAGCCAAGTGTGGTGTGGCGCATGCTTGTAATCCCAGCTACTTGGGAGGCTGAGGCAGGAGAATCGCTTAAACCCAGATGGCAGTGGTTGCAGTGAGCCGACATCCTGCCATTGCACTCTAGCCTGGGCAGCAAGAACAAAACACTGTCTCAAAATAAATAAATAAATAAATAAATAAATAAATAACACACACACATATACATACATACATATATATATCATTGTAGGCCGGGCGCGGTGGCTCAAGCCTGTAATCCCAGCACTTTGGGAGGCCGAGACGGGCGGATCACGATGTCAGGAGATTGAGACCATCCTGGCTAACACGGTGAAACCCCGTCTCCAGTAAAAAAAAAAATAAAAAAACTAGCCGGGCGTGGTGGCGGACGCCTGTAGTCCCACCTACTCTGGAGGCTGAGGCAGGAGAATGGCGTGAACCCGGGAGGCGGAGCTTGCAGTGAGCTGAGATCCGGCCACTGCACTCCAGCCTGGGTGACAGAGCGAGACTCCGTCTCAAAAAAAAAAAAAAAAAACCCCCCAAAAAAAAAAAATATATATATATATATATCATTGTAGCTATGCAAAATTGGCAAGCAGAGAAAAAATATAGTCATGCATCACTTAATGATGGAGATACATTCTGAGAAATGTGTCATTAGGCGATTTCACCCTGCATACGTCATAAAGTGTACTGATACAAACCTAAATGGTAAAGCCTGGCACACATATAGGCTATGAGATACAACCTACTACTCCTAAACTATAAACCTTTGTAGCATGTTACTGTACTGAATACCACATGCAATCACAATACAGGTATTTGTATATCTAAACATGTAAAAGGTACAGTAAAAATACAGTACTATAAATCTTATGGGACCATGATTGCATTGTGTGACCCATCATTAACAGAGACATTATTATGTGACACATGTCATGACTTTACCTCCAGGGGAATATGCTAGAGTACAACCTGTGGTGACATTTATCTTGTAGGATCCTAAGTGCAGGCCATGAAATTCCAGTATTTGCTTTACTGGCTGCCTGGCGCCCACCCTTGCCATTTCCAACTTAGAGCTATCTACAAATATAAAAAGCATCACCTCAATGACTTCATTAAATCACAAGAAAAGCAATCAACAGACAGGGACAAGAGCAGTGCTCTGAGGCCAAAAATCTTTCCTGAGACAGGCAATGACCAGTATATTGAGGTCTACTGAGTTCAGCTGATTTGTCACCTACACATTCACTAGAACCAGATATCATGAGGAAGGTTTCTCATAGATGTTAAATATTAATAAAGGAGAGGTACAATATTTATAGTATACCTGCATGTTTCATTTACGATCTCAAATCCCCTTATTATAATATCTGTTCCATTCTTCCCAAGTGGACTATCCTTCCTCTTAATGAAAAATACAAAAGCAAAATGACCAGAAAAACACCTCCCGTTACCATTTCTAAAATGCTTCCACAGACCTCCCAACAATGCCATGAGTGAAGAAATGTGGATGATATTATCTCTATTTTATAGATACATAATTTGAAGTTCACAAATTTTTTAAAAAACTTGCCTAAGGGCACAAAGCTAGTAAGTAGAACTAGAGCTTAGAGCTTATATGCTGTGGGGCAGAACTCACAACATCTGATTTTTGTTTTGGTGCCCTTCCCAAAACAGCAGTTCTGGTTTTTGTCATATGTCCATCTGTTCTATGAAAAGTCCTCTCCATTCCTTTCCTACTTCAGATGTACCATTTATAAAGGCATACTTTGTTGCCCTTGGCATTTCTTGCAAACCTCAGCTCAGTTTCCTAAGAGAACTCTGGCAGGCTGGTTTCATTTACAAAAACTCCTTACATAAAACCTTGAAAATGCTTCACAATGCCCACAAAAATATGCAAGATTGACTAGTTGACCTCGTGGGATAAAGAATGAATGAACAATGCCATCAGTTCCAAGAAACAAGCCAACAATGCCTTTACTTGTGATTTGACAAGCATTCTTTTTGCAGTTTCAGTCATTTTGGAATTTTTATTAAAAAAAAAAAAAAAGTTTCTGGGTTGCATTAAGAGAAAATACCTTGTGGTAATTCTTAAGAAATTAACTAAATACATTAATTTTAGACTGTTAGTCTCCAACAACAAAAAAGTAACCTTTCCTATTTGAAAGAAAGAAAGGGAATCAACTGGAGAAAACAGAGGAAAAAACATTTCTAGAATATTAACTAAATCCTTAAAGTAAAGTGGTTTTAATTTATATGGCAGGCTTAGGGAGGAGAAAATGGGTAAAGGCAGGCACAATACCAAGGCCCATGAAACTCTGAAAACAAAACAGATTTATGGAGACAAAATGTATTGCAACTCAGGTTGGGTGCAGTGGCTCACACCTGTAATCCCAGCACTTTGGGAGGCCAAGGTGAGCGGATCACTTGAAGCCAGGAGTTTGAGACCAGCCTGGCTAATATAGTGAAATCCCATCCCTACTAACAATACAAAATAATTAGGTGAATGTGGTGGTCTGTAATACCAACTACTCAGGAGGCTGAGGCACAAAAATTTCTTGAACCCAGGAGGTGGAGGTTGCAGTGAGCTGAGATCATGCCACTGCGCTCCAGACTGGATGACAAAGCGAGTCTGTCTCTGGAAAAAGAAAAAAAAAAAAAAAAAAGGATCCTAACTCATAAGTAGAAAACATGAGCCAGGTTTGATATCAGTTTAATCAACAATAGCAATGTAAGTACTGGAAGAACATCACAAAGAGTTCATTATGAAACATATAAAAAGCCCAAGAGACTTACTGAACCAACTAAGCAATGTGGTCATGAAAGGTGGTCTCTACTGTGGATAAGAACTGACCAACAAGGCCTCACCATCTCCAGTGGCTCTGCAGTCCTTTACTGAGTCCACCACTCACCAAACAACTGTTTGATTATTAATTTGATTTCCCAGTACTTATTAAGAGCCATCAGCCCATCTTCTTATGGAGCCAGTGAAGGAGATTCAAAGGCAACAGTTTAGAAAAACAGAGGAGGAACAGGACATTGCAGAGATGCAGAGGTCTAAATAAGGGAAAATGTCTCCCCTGGCAGAACTCAGCCACCTCTGTCTGCCTCAGAGAGTTGGGAGGGAGCCTGGAGACAATGGACCACATGAGCTCTGCTATCTTTCTCTAGTTCCAATCTTTTTTATCTATCTATAAAGGAAGGGAGATGAGTCAGGTGACCTCAAAACACCATTTCAACTCAGCCACTGTATTTCTAAATACAAAAATAATTATTGGCTGAGCGGCTCATGTCTGTAATCCCAGCACTTTGGGAGGCCGAGGTGAAAGAATAGCTTGAGCTCAGGAGTTCAAGACCAGCCTGTGCAACATAGCATGACCCCATCTCTGCAAAAAACTTAAAATTTAAAAATCAGCTGGGTGTGGTGGTGTATGCCTGTAGTCTCACCTACTCAGGGAGAAGAAGGAGGAGGATGAAGCAGGAGGATGGCTTGAGCCCAGGAGGTCGAGGATGCAGTAAGCCACAGTCAAATCACTGCACTACAGTCTAATGTGCTTCTCTTAGTTTAATTGAGGACCTAACACTGTACTAAATTCTAAGGCAGGGATATATGAGATTCCTTCTACCTCCAAAAACTTATAATCTAGTCCAGAAGATTGGGTATAAACACTAAAGTGTCAAAAATATGTTTAGGTATCAAAAGAGTGAAAACAATAAATGCAAAAGGAATCTGAATGTGGAGAAACCTCACTGTGTTCTGAAATACACTGTGAAGATTTCATGAACAAGACTGGCCTAAGCCAACTATTTACAACAATATCCAAAAAAAAAAAAAACTGACAAAACAAAGCAAATAAAAATATAAAGGTATGAGACTAAGAAATGTTGAGTTCTCTAGAGGATGAAATACAGTTTGAAAGATAACACAACATTACATATAAAGTCTGGCCTCTGGAGCCAAGGAAAGATGAACTGAATCTGAATATCAACTGCTATTTACCATGCTAACTATTTAACACCTCTGAGCCTTTTTTTGGTTATTAAAATGAAGGCAATTATACTAGTTTTGCAGAATCACTGGGAGAATTAAATTGGAAAATATTAAGCACCTAGCACAATATTTGACACAAAATATTTCATACAAAAACTACTAAATAATCATCTGTTCCCTGAACTGTCCATTACTCAATATTTAAATGTGTTTAGGGATACAGAAATTGTACTTTTCTTTTTGAGGGACTACACAGCAAAACTGTTATTTTAGTGTCAAAAACTGCCTCTTCTCTTTCCATAAGAATTTATAAAATTTAATTTTTCTTTATCATCTATCTTAGTATGATTTAACACTGTCACTTCATTCATCAGTAAGAGATGCTTAGGTCAGGCGCGGTGACTCACGCCTGTAATCCCAGCACTTTGGGAGGTCGAGGAGGGTGGATCACAAGGTCAGGAGATTGAGATCATCCTGGATAACATGGTGAAACCCTGCCCCTACTAAAAATACAAAAAATTAGCCGGACATGGTGGCGGGTGCCTGTAGTTCCAGCTACTCGGGAGGCTGAGGCAGGAGAATGGCTTGAACCCGGGAGAATGGCATGAACCCGGGAGGCGGAGCTTGCAGTGAGCCGAGATCGCGCTACTGCACTCCAGCCTCGGTGACGGAGCGAGACCCTGTCTCAAAAAAACAAACAAAACAAAAACCAGATGCTTTTAAGTTCAATGACTACAGTCACAAAACAAAACAAAAAGGGATTCAGTAACTTTTAGTTAACACACCTGAATTTTGGGGGAAAGCAAACATTCAAAGGTATTATTAGATGATACACTATTTTGTGTATGCACTGGCATTAAAGAGCCAACTGGAAGGTCCAGGATACTGGATGGAACCTGCTGACTGACTAATGGGCTTTTCTATAGGCTGATCTGGCAGGGACCTTCCAGCTGCTTTTAGTGTTGCACTCTTAAAAACGAACATACTGCCAGGGATCCCCAGACAGGTAACAAAAGAGAAAACAAAACAAACTTTAAAGAAACGTAGAGCAAAGAGAGAGCAGAAGACATTTTAAATATTTTATTAGTAATATTCTCAAATAAGTAAAAAAGGAGGGTTCAGAAGAAAGAGCTGTTGGATATTACAAGTATGATAGCAGGAAAAATGAAAATTTCAATCACAGTTTTTTTTTTGTTTTGTTTTGAGATGGAGTTTCGCTCTTGTTACCCAGGATGGAGTTCAATGACACAATCTCAGCTCACCACACCCTCTGCCTCCCAGGTTCAAGTGACTCTCCTGCCTCAGCCTCCTGAGTAGCTGGGATTACGGGCATGCGCCATCACGCCAGACTAATTTTGTATTTTTAGTAGAGACGGGGTTTCTCCATGTTGGTTAGGCTGATCTTGAACTCCCAACCTCAGGTGATCTGCCCGCCTCGGCCTCCCAAAGTGCTGGGATTACAGGCATGAGCCACCGCGCCCACCCTCAATCACTGTTTCAAAGGCAAGCTGAAGCTATTTCTCAGGGGAAAAAGAAAACAAAGAGATAGAAAACAGAAAAGAGGCTTTCAAAATTAAGGAATCCATGTTAAAGGCCCAATATGTGATTAATAGCACTTCACCTTCCACATTAAGAAGGCAAAAGATAACATCTAAAACTGCAAAACAAAGAAAAAAGTAGCATAAGCATTATTTTAGAAATTCAGAGGTAAATACCCAGGGAAAGCTAAAAGAATTGACAGTTGTTTGTAAAGAAAAAGATGGGAAATTGGGAGGCATACAGCAGGGCACTGCTGCTTATTCAAATCTTTCAGCGTTATTGCCTTTTCAGTGATGGTCATGTATTATTTTGATAAAAATTAAATTTAGGCCAGGTGCGATGGCTCATGACTCTAATCCCAGCACTTTGGGAGGCCAAGGCAGGCAGATCACTTGAGGTCAGGAGTTCAAGACCAGTTTGGGTCAACACGGAGAAACCTGTATCTACAAAAATGCAAAAAAAAAAAAAAAAAAAGAAAAAATTAGCTGGGTGTGGTGGTGCACGCCTGTAATCCCAGCTACTCAGGAGGCTAAGGTAGGAGAATCGCTTGAACCTGGGAGGCGGAAGTTGAAGTAAGCTGAGATCACACTACTGCACTCCAGCCTAGGCAACAGAATGAGACTCCGTCTCAAAAAAAAATTAATTTTAAAAAGTTTAGTACAGCAAACCTCAATTTTTGTTCACTTGATGAAAGTCACAAATTTATGCACAAGAAAATTACTCTCTGTGAAATTCTATGTCCAAGACACCATACAAAATATGCTATGGAATGAGGAGGAGCAGTAGTTAGCACTTAGGAATGCTGCAAAGACTGCAGAGGTGATGGCGCACGGTGGGAGGTTAGGTGGGAAGGTAACAAGCTAAGCATTCAACATATCCCATCCCTCCAATGTAACTGGAACCATATTTCCATCTAGTCAAGGGACTTCATACACCACAAAGGCAGGTCCCTCTCTAGTAGTCCAATTGGAGACATCCTGATCAGCCTAGAGGGAGGACGAGGATCCCTATCTGAGAATCTGGCAGCCCACAGCATCACTCACATCACACAGCATCACTCCGGACTCAAGCATCTCTCACTCTACAACCACAGGGGAAATACCAAGGAGTGGTGACACCTGATGCCTGTGGCTTTTGAACATCATCCTAGTGCATTCAGAGTTCTCAAACATGTAAATGTCATGACGTTAAAAACAGGATAGATGAGGCCTCAAAATGCATACGGAAAACTTGGAATTAGAGTGTCTTTTATTTTGAACTTCAGCTTAACTATAAATACTATTTCTTACCGAAAGAAATGTCTCAATGTTCTCGTGAACAAAGGAAGCAATATCCTGCCAGTCCAGAATGTCTCCCAGCCAGCTATTCTGACGACTGACATGCAACTTCTGTCCTTTGTGCCTTCCAGAGTGTGTTACATTCTATGGAATAAAACAGTGCAGACATGAAATTCCCATCTTAATCTAAAGATCAAAAAGTATAAAAGTCACATTTTGCTTCAGGTCCCCTTAATCACTTCAGTAAGTACTCCAAGGAGAAGAACTTTCCATTATTTAAGAAATCAGCTAAGAACTCCATTTAAAGACCTGAAATAAAAAATGCTTTTGTTTATATTCTAGGTACCTTGGCTAAGTCTTGCTCCAGTGCTTCCCTCCTAAATACATTTGCAAACACATCTTACTCCTCAGTATCTACAACAACACACTAAATAGCATTTACTTTTTTTTTTTTTTTTTTTTTTTTTTTAGTTTTTAGGTCCTCTACCTTTCTCTTGATCTCCCATCTTTGCTTTTCTCCTCCTTTCCTCATTTTTCTTTTTAATTTACCATACAAGATAAGCAAAACGAGGAGAGAAGAATATAACAAGCAAATGTAAGGCAGTAAATAGAATTTGTCTATCTGGAAGACATTGGCAGAGATACGAGAATAACTAACTTTGAAAGAGATAAAGACCAGGTAGAATGGCTCACACCTGTAATCCTACCACTTTGGGAGGCTGAGGCAAGAGGATCACTTAAGCCTAGGAGTTCATCAAGACCAACCTGGGCAACACAGTGAGACCCTATCTTTACAAAAATTTAAAAATTAGACACGCATGATGGTAGGAATGTTGTCTTCTTTTTTTAGAGACAAGGTCTTGTTCGCCTTGTCACCAGGTTGGACTGGAGTGCAATGGTGCAGTCATAGCTCACTGCAGCCTCCAACTCCTGAGCTTCAGTGATCCTCCCACTTCAGTCTCCCCAAGTAGCTGGGACTATCGGCGCACACCACCACACCCAGCTAATTTTTTGTAGAGATGGGGTCTCACTACGTTGCCCAGGCTGGTCTGAAGCTTCAAGCCTCAAGTGATCCTCCCACCTCAGCCTCCCAAACAGCCAGGATTACAGACATGAGCCACCATGCCCAGCCAACAAATATGTCAGTTTGTACAAAGAACTTGAGCATCCCTGGATTTTGGTACCAGTGGGGTGTCTTAGGACCGATCATCCAGCACACTGGGGGACACACTGTACTTAACCACTTAACAAACCCATGCTTATGAAACACTGACCTTCCTCTACTATAAAATAAAGCTCACGAGGTATGAGGGGTAATAAAAGCTATTTGTCTGTAAGCAGTCCCAGAGTTAGCAAAAGAAATAGATACACCTTTCTAATTATCTGGTTTTTCAGCAGATGAGATCAAATCTATGATACTCACCTAGATATTCCCTGGATATTTTTTCCCAAGTCTTTGAAATCTATAAAAACTAACAATTTTCCCTCAACTCATCCCAAAGCAAGAGTACGTAATCCCAAACAAGTCACTAAGGAACAAATTCAAATTTAAAATCAGCCCTCCTCCCCCTCCACCCTACATTAAGAGACTTACATATATACTTGCTCTCCTTACATCAACTCAGAATCATCACCACCAACTCTGCCCACTCTATACATAGCACAGCTCCTGCTAGCCCACAGGCCCTGCCAGAACTAGTGTATAGGATGGCCTGGGCAACATGGCAAAACCCCATCTCTACAAAAAATACAAAAAAATTCACCAGGCATGGTGGCATGCACCTGTAATCCCAGCTACCCAGAAGGCTGAGGCAGGAGGATCACTCGAGTCCAAGAGATGGAGGTTACAGTAAGCCAAGATCACACCACTGCACTCCAGCCTGGGTGACAAGAGTGAGACCCTGTCTCAAAAAATAATAATAATAAAAAAAAATAAAAAGTAAAAGATCTCTAAGCTTTTAGATCCAGTTTCACTTCCTCAAAGAAAAGTTCTTAATGCCTACAGTTGTACTGTCTAAAACAGCAGCCAGTAGAAGCTAGCCACATGTGGCTACTGAGCACTTAAAGTATGTCTAGCTCAAAAACTGAGACGTGCTGCTGGTATAAAATGCATGCTAGATTTCAAAGACAGTATGGAAAAAAAAAGAATATAAAATATCTTATTAAATTTTTTCTAATGATTATATATTAAAATAATAGTATTTGGGGTATACTGGATTAAATAAAGTATCACTGAAAAACTAAAACAGGTAAAATTTGTTTGAGTATAAGTACTAGAAAATTTAACATTACCTTATGTGGCTTGCATTACACTTCTCCCGCACAGAGCTGGTCTAGAGGATGAGATGTCCATGACAACAGACTGAGGATGGAATACTGATGCACCAGAGAGGTAGGCAGGTTCTGCCATGGAGACTAACCATCAACTCACACTGACTTTAGTGACCTGAAGCTTAAGGGTTTTGCTGTTTTAAAATTTCCATGAATGAAATCCCGCTGTGAATATAATCCTATCTAGTTGATGAGTCGATAAAAGGACTTTATTAGTTTACAACATAAAACCTTAGCTAAAATAACTTACCTTTACAAACCAAGAGTGATACAGTCTGTCCCAAAGTTCTAGTACTTGCTTTTCAATTACAGCAGTATTGTTCACCTTATCTCCTAGAATTTTATGGAGCTAGAAAAAAACACAGATACGACCTGGTACAATATTTCAGGCAACAATAGAGTAAATTTAATATATGCTGCGTATTTACATTTGTTTCAAATCAAACAAAAATGTTCCAGACTATTTATCTCTAGCCACATTATGTTCTTTCCTTAAACTCTACTCCTGACTATTCCCAGTAAATTTCCTTTCTCATCTTTTTGCTTCTATCTTGTTTGCTCTATTCTCAGGTCTCTAAGAGAGCTACCTCACGCTATCAGAGAATGATGCAAATGAAGCCATGATTGCTGACTTATCTGATCTTACCTGTCTAGAGAAAAATCTTTCCCCTGTAATCCCAGTGCTCTTCCATTATACATATGTCTCATGTTACATTTATCTCTATTATTAAGAATTACCACAGAACTTTAAGTAAAATTTTAGGACGCTGGCTATAAACACAAATCCTTCCCTCCATTTGCATGCTGAGAGATGTGTGGTCTCATTTACAATTGATCAGACTGGCCTCGGGTTTGTGGAAATCAAGTACACTGAGACGACGTAACTTAGAGGAAGGCTATCATTGTAGATGTTATCCCACTTAGTTATTATTAAAACCATATTATAACATAAAAAACAATTTTTACACTTTCAGAGGCTGAGGTGGGCAGATCACTTGAACCCAGGAGTTTGAGACCAGCCTGAGTAACATGGTGAAATCCCATCTCTACAAAAAATACAAAAAGATTACCAGGTGTGGTGGTGTGTGCCTGCAGTCCCAGCTACTTGGGAGACTGAGGTGAGAGGATCACCTCAGTCCAGGAGGTTGAGGCTGCACTGACCCGTGATCATGCCAATGCACTCCAGCCTGAGTAATAGAGTAAGATCTGGTCTCAGGAAAAAAAAAAAAAAAATTCCTAAAAGAAATTTGTAGGCCCACTTCCTTAATACAATTGTTTCCATTTTTCTATTTCCTCTGCAACTTTCTGCCTGTTTACATAGAGACAATTTAGAATTCTATATTTTCTACTGCATTATAAACATTTAATCTTCAGCCATCACTAACCTTCATCTTCAATACTTTTCTATTAGTTCATTATGTTCTGGTATTAGCTAATCATTACCCACTCTAAGGATATATAATTAAATCTTTTTTCTTTTTTTTCTTTTCTTTTTTTTTTATTTTGAGATGAAGTATTGCTCTGTCACCCAGGCTGAAGTGCAGTGGTGCAATCTTGGCTCTCATTGCAACCTCTGCCTCCCAGGTTTGAGCAATTCTCCTGTCTCAGTCTCCTGAGTAGCTGGGATTACAGGCGTGCACCACTACACGCAGCTAATTTTTGTATTTTTAGTAGAGACAGAGTTTCACCATGTTGGCCAGGCTGGTTTTGAACTCCTGACCTCAAGTGATCTGCCCACCTCAAACTCCACAAGTGCTGGGATTACAGGCGTGAGCCACTGTGCCGAGCCATGAATCCTAATTTTTAATGTCATGAGTAACACTGCAATGAACATCCTTTTACACAGTTTTTAAGGGTATCTATGGATGCTCATTGCAGGGTTACTTGTGACATAAATAAATGTACTGGAACCAAAGAAAATGAGTTTTTTTTTTTTTTTGAAACAGGGTTTTACTCTGTCATCCAGGCTGGAGTACAGTGGCATGTTCACGGTTCATTGAAGCCTGGACCTCCCGGGCTCAAGCGATCCTGCCACCTCAGAGACCCGAGTAGCTGGGATCACAGGCGCATGACACCACACGCAGCTAATTTTCTTATTTTTTTGTAGAGACAAGGTCTCACTATGTTGCTCAAGCTGGTCTGGGATCAAGTGATCCTCCTGCCTCGGCCTCCCAAAGTGATGGGATTACAGGCATAAGTCACCACACCCAGCCGACAATGAGCATTTTAATGGCTCTTGCTACGCACTGGTAAACTGACTTCTATAATAAGAAATATACCAATTAATGCTTTTCAAATTTACAGAAATGACCCAATTTCCTCAAAGCCTTATGAACTAACTGGACAATTTTTAGGGAGTTTAACAGGTATGAAATGTAGCCATTATTTATTATTTTCTTATTTAGTAACGAAAGGAGTGACCATTTTCCCGTGTTAGTTTACAACATCTATTTCCTTACTCTTTGTCTGTTTGATTCTGGCCTTACAGATATGTGAACCAGTTACTAGACATATTCAATGCAAACATATCTGTTCAATTTGTTCCTTTATATTTGATTTATTCATAAACTGAAAACAAAATACTCAATATAATAAAGCCATTTGGCCAGGCATCGTGGCTCATGCCTTGTAATCATAGCACTTTGGGAGGCCATGGTGGAAGGATTATGTAAGCACAGGAGTTTGAGACCAGCCTGGGCAACATGGTGAAACCACGTCTCTATAAAAAATAGAAAAATTGGCTGGGCATGGTGGTGCATGCCTGTAGTTCCAGCTACTCAGGAGGCTAAAGTGGTAGGACCACTTGAGCCTAGGAGGTGGGGGTTGCAGTGAGCTGAGATCGCGCCACTGCACTCGCCTGGGAACAAATCTTGCCAATTCTTACATAATCCTAATTACTTCAGTATACTAAAAGTGCAACTTACCTTTATTCCTACAGGCAATACTAGGGAGGGAAAGAATATTCCAAATCCATATTGTGGAACCTAATCCTTAACTGTGTTGTCTTTTCCTCTATCATTCATTTCCCCTTCACAAAGCTCCCTCCACTTCAGTCAAGATCATTTCCTCAAGCACACTCCTGTCTCAGCATCTCAATCATCTCTTCAAGCACACTCCTGTCTCTGCATCTTGGCTCACACAAATACCCTTCTTAAAAGCCACTCTTTCTTGATCTGTCATTACTTCAAGGTTTATCTCAAGTGCCACATCAAAGCACTTAATCCAGTTCTGGGCACACACTGCAAGCATCCTACAGTAGACACAAAGGATTTGAAGTTAAGCTTCAGTTTCAAACTAAGCTCTGCAATCTACTACATGACCCCTGGGAACTGACTCAGCCTTGCTGAGTCTTGTTTCCTCATCTGCAAAGTAGGCAAAATAATTTATATTGCAGACTTCTTAGAAACAGTAAAAGAAAAAAAAAATTAAATGAAAATAACTGGAAACTGCCAAAGATAGTTATCAGCAGATAATAAGATTTAACATGCATGAATACCTTTTTCTCTACAAAGCCTTATTTGACTACCCAAACCAAGTGATCATTCTGTCCTAACTCACAAGTAATGAATCAGATCTATCTTGAAAAAGTACACGACCAACCTCTCAGATTATTTAGGCCACTACCCCTATTTAATGTGATCTTTCAAAAGATTTAATTGTATGTTGCTTACCTGTTTATTTAAGCCTATTTACTGCTGCGAATAGCATTTCTATTTATGTTTTATCAAAGCAAGAAGCTATCACCAGTAAAGACCCTAAAAAGAGAAAGCTACAAAGAAAGGTTCTTCCCTTACCTTGTGAGTTATCCATTCTCGTCCATACTGATACACATTGTTAGCCGCAGAATTCAGGGCTCTTTGGACTACCTGAGCCTCAGGAAGCCAACTAATGTAAAACAAAGAAAGAAAAGAATGAAAAAAGTACACTTTCTGTGTAGCGTACCAGTAATGCTTTGAACTGGATATGCTTAATCCATAACAGACAGACTGTTGATCATTCATCAATACACAGATACTGAAGCATCATGAGCAGGACTGCCAGACTTAACTGGCCTAAGTCTAACATTCAAAAGTCCTTTCAATCTTTCCTTAGTTTTATTTATTTTATTTTATTTTATTATTTTATTTTGGAGACGGAGTTTCACTCTTGTTGCCCAGGCTGGAATGCAATGGCACGATTTCGGCTCAGTGCAACCCTGCAACTTCCACCTCCTGGGTTCAAGTGATTCTCCTGCCTCAGCCTCCCAAGTAGCTGAGATTATAGGCATGTCACCACACCTGGCTAATTTTGTATTTTAGTAGAGATAGGGTTTCACCATGTTAGTCAGGCTGGTCTCAAACTCCTGACCTCAAGTGATCCACCTGCCTCAGCCTCCCAAAGTGTTGGGATTACAGGCGTGACCCACGGCACCCGGCCTCAATGTTTCCTTAGCTTTTAGACTCACTTTCCCCACAACCTCCCTTTCATTCTACTCTGCCTGGTTTCTCTGTTCACATGTCCTGAGTCATCCGCCTTATTCGGCACCAAAGAAAGTGGTTCTGGGAGACTGGGATATTCAACATCCGGGACAGGGTTCTCAAAGTGTGGTCCACAAATCAGCAGCATCAAAACTTTTTGGAAACCTGTTAGAAATGAAAAATTTGGGGCCCAAACCCAGATCTACTGAAAAAGGAACACGACTGGGGCCCAGCAATCTGTACCTTAACAAGCCCTGTAGATGATACTGAAGCATGCTACAGTTTGAGAATCACTCATCTAAGGAAGTGAAGAAATCAGAAAGAATGAAGGAAATGAAGACAGTGAATCATTATCCTCAACTTGGTTATCTGCTGAAGATCTTTTAAAGATAGAATTCCTGAACAGAGTTCCAACTATGTAAGGAATCATAGTCCACAAGCTTTACTTGCTGTGCAGTGAGAGGTGGCCTCCTCACTCTCCTGTTGACTAAGCAGGCTGCACCATATACTTTAATCAAGAATCCTTTACACAACCATAGTGTTTCCACAAGAGAAAACATGTTCACGTATTCTCTAAATTGTTCCTTTTAATAATATATGCTGGAGATACTGACATTCACAAATTTAACAGTCCTCATTTCAACTATTCCAAAGTGAAGCCAAAAGGTGAAGGCAAGAAGAAGCTAGTCATTTACTTTCCTGAGGCCTCAAAATGACACATCCTACAACTCTAACATAAAAGGGTCAATTAGGTAAAGTCAAATGTGCAACATCCTCAACTCACTGCAGCTGTATGTGTTGTGTATGAGCAAGATGGTCATAAAGAGAAAGTCAGTTGCCACTGACAGCCACAAAGTCTGGGTGCCTAGGAAAGTGGTCTTTAACTAGAAAAAATAAGAGATCTTTGAATGAATTAAAAAGTAGACTATTAAATTAGTAGGTTTGAATCGTAAGTATTAACCAGTTTGCCCCACACTCCAAATAAAGTATCTGTGAAACTTCTTGGCAAATTCCTCAGTCCATTCAAATATTTCTCAGCAAGGTCAGCACGCTGGTTCATGCCTGTAATCCCAGCACTTTGAGAGGCCAAGGCGGGCGGATCACTTGAGGCCAGGAGTTCAAGACCAGCCTGGCCAACAAGGCAAAAAATACAAAAATACTAAAAAATACAAAAATTAGCTGGGCGTGGTTGCACACAACTGTAGTCCCAGCTACTCAGGAGCCTGAGGCACAGGAATCACTTGAGCCCAGGAGGGAGAGGTTGCAGTGAGCCAAGATCATGCCACTACCCTCCAGCCTGGGCAAAAGGTCAAGACTGTCTCAAAAAACTCAGCAAGTCAAAATTTCAAAATTTTAGACACAAATATAATAATGTACAGTATAAGGACATAAACAGGAAATCTGGATCACTAAACTGAAATGTGATTTGGGAGAAATTAGGTAGCTTTTAAATTACTCCTTTATAAATTCATCAGTGGCTTGAAGGGATTGCTAAATATTTTCAGTTATATGGTAACTCATAATTGATGTGATATTGATATACTGGTATTATATTGATATTATATATTATACTGATAACACTATCCTGTAGTGTTATTTACAAGTGTGAAGATGGGCAGGGCGCAGTGGCTCACGCCTGTAATCCCAACACTTTTGAGAGGCTAAGGCAGGTGGATCACCTGAGGTCAGTAGTTCGTGACTAGCCTGGCCAACACAGTGAAACCCCATCTCTACTAAAAATGAAAAACTTAGCCAGGTGTGGTGGTGTGCGCCTGTAGTCCCAGCTACTTGGGAGGCTAAGGCAGGACAATCGCTTGAACCCGGGAGGCAGAGATTGCAGTGAGCCAAGATCATGCCATTGCATTCCAGCCTGGATGGCACGGCAAGACTCCATCTCAAAAAAAAAAAAAAAAAAAAAAAGTGTGAAGATTCATAGAGGTATCTGGACAGATTCTTAATGATTCACATACATCTACTGGGCCTGGGAAAATGTCTTACTGGCCACTATGAAAACACTTTCCCAATGTACTCACACAGGTTTCCTAAGAGCAACAAATGAGAGGAGCTGTTCTGGGGACAAGGTAGAGGCACTGGCTCAGTCCCAGCCTCCCTCAGGAGACATGGGGCCAGAAACACAGGAGCCGCCTTAGCTGGGTTGTACTCTGGCCTTACACACCTACAGGCCCTGAAATGAGCTCCTTCCTTGGAGATTCACTGCCTCAGCCTATCGCTAACTCCCCTACTCACTCAAGAGGGATTCCTCAGCAGAAACCAATGCCCTACAGTTTAGACTGGTCTGCCCTCACCTTCCTGGGTAAAGGTTAATCTCTATCACCTACGACCTACCCAGAGAACAACCCTGATTAAAATCAACTTAGTTTAGCCTACTGGGTTTCTCCCAAGTAAGCGAAGGGATAAGTGCAACTGAGAACCATTTCAGTACCATCTCCTAATGAGGGTCCTGAGACGCATGAATCAGGCTTGAGACAAGCCAGGAGAAAGCAGAAAATGAGCTCTCAACTAACAGAACTGCCAAAGACAAGAATCAGGATGTGCATCAACCTCATTTTCTTTAGAGCTCCACTAAGATGATCCTAATCTGTCTAATTTACCCACCAGCTTACGAGGCACATCCAGCAGAAGTCAAGGGACTACATGGGCCATATAAAACCACACCAAGTTGGAAGAAAGTACATCTGGACGTATTCTTAACTGTATCTTCTCCACTAGGAGTATCCACATGAATCCCCCACAAGGCCAACTACCCTCCTCCTGACAGAATCCACTGAGTACTGAGAGTTGGAGGAAACCATTATCATTATTTCATGCCAATCCCTACTATTTCCAATCCCATTCCCACTTATCTGCTGCAAAAGAATCAGACCTTCCATGAATCATCAAAGTCTAAGCAGCTTTAAAAAGCCTTCCTTTTGGGAGGTCGAGGCGGGTGGATCACTTGAGGTCAGGAGTTCAACAGTAGCCTGGCCAACATGTAAAACCCTGTCTCTTACTAAAAACACAAAAATTAGCTGGGCGTGGTGGTGCATGTGTGACTGTTGCGTGCGTGACTGTAATACTGGCTACTTAGGAGGCACAAGAATCGCTTGAACCCAGGAGGTGAAGGCTGCATTGAGCCAAGATCACACCACTGCACTCCAACCTGGGTAAGAGGGAGACTTTGTGTCAAAACAAAAACAAAAACAAAAAAACTTCCTAAATGGAACATTACTCAGCAATAAAAAGGAACAAACTTGATATATACAACATCTTGGATGAGCTTCAAGAGAATTATGCTAAGCAACAAAAAGCCAACCTCAAAAGACTGCATACTCCATGAATGGATTTACGTATTACTCTCAAAATGATTTTATAGCTATGGAGAACTGATTAGCGGTTGCTAAGAGTTACAGAAATCTTGAAGGAGAGGGTAGAGGGTGGGTGTGGCTGTTAAGGGGAAGAAGCCTGCAATGGAACAGTTCTGTACTGTGTTGGTAGCTGACATGAAACTACACATATGATGAAATCTGAAGTGTATTATAGCAATGCCAATTTCCCGGTTTTATTGTACTACAGTTATGCAAGATGACAACACTGGAGGAGGTGGGGTGAAGAGTATATGGGTCTTCCCTGTATATGTCTTTGCAACTCCCTGTGAATCTATAATCATGATCTCAAAATTTCAAGACAAAAAAAAAACCTTTCTTCCACTATCTGATCTGGGGCTGCTCAGATCGTGTGCCTTTGCTACAGTTGCAGAGAGAATGCTACTACTATTCAAAACCAGTACAGAAGGGCTCTGCATTTACTTCCAGTACAGAAGAATGACCCAAAGAAAAGGAGCCCTCTGGATGTAAAGGCTGAGGCTGAGTCCTAGAGGACAACACTTGGAAGGTCTATCATCCCATGAAAGGCTCTATCCACTTGCCTAGATCCAAGATGGCTCCTTCCTAAAATCCCATACCTGATACATGTTGGTTCCTCTTTTTTCCCATCCTCCTTTTAAAATGTATTATATCCAAAGAGCCAGAGGACAGAAGACCTCACTTCTTACTTCAAAGATATATGGCCCCTAATTTCCCACCTTCCCCACTCCACTGAACTCACAGTGTTTATATCCATACCCACTCTGACCTGCTTTCCCCAGCTGTTCCATTCATGCCATGGATTCATCTCATGCTTCATCCTCAGAGAAACGCACTAAGAATTATCTCTCTCCTAATATTACAATCCCTTCCACTCTACCAGTTCTTTCCCTGGAGCATATAAACAAGGCTTCTCCATCTTAAAAAATTAAACAAAACTGCTCTATACCTCCCTCCCAGCTACGTTCCATAGGCAAACTTGGGAAAGAGAAGTCTATACCTGCTTTCTCTACTTCCTTGTTCCCAACAATTTCTCAACACACTGTGATCTAATGGGCTTCTGCTACACCAATTAAATGAACTGCTCTTGCAGTTGCTAAATCCAATTTCACTCTTACAAATTTCTGCAGCAATTTGACATTGCTGACCACTACTACTTTCTCAAAATGTTCTCTTTCCTTGGTTTTCCTCTTACCTTTCTCATAGCCCATTCTCATTTTCCTTTGTCAACCTATTGTTTTTTGTTCACCCTTAAAGGCTTAAGATACCCACAGGGCGCACCTCCAGACATCCTCTCCGTACCTTATATACATTCTTTCTTTATGCTGATGCTTCTCAAAACTCAAGATCCAACCCAGACCTCTCGTCTGATTCCTGGACTTACACAGCAACTGCCCATTTTTTAACTTCACCCCATCTCTCCTGAACCTCATACCTATAGAGTCAACAGCCTACTGGATGCCTCTACTTACAACAGTCACCTCAAACTCAACAGGTAAACAGGTGAATTAGTTTCCCTACCAAATCTGCTCTTCTATTTCCTATCTTGGTGAATCTGTCATCATTCAGTAATTTCCAAAGCTAGAAACATCAGTCATGCTAGATTTCTTCCTCTTATATTCAATTAATCACCAACTAACCCCTCAAGACCTTATAAATCTGTCCCTCCTGTTCACCTCCACTGAAACTGTCTATAGTTCAGGGCTTTGTCACTTCTCATCCAGTTTACTCTAGAAGCTTTTGTCTCAAAGGCTCACATCTTGTATACCTTCAATCTTTTCTCCACAAAGCAGCTGAAAAGCCTGTTCTAGAATGAAATCTGATGATTCTACTTCTCTTCTTATATCCTTAATCAATATAATAAACATATCTATCACTCCCCAAAATTTCCTTGCACCTGTATGTATGTCCTCCCTAGAGCTCCACCCCAATCCACAGGCAACCATTAATCTTACTGTCACTACAGATTAGTCTGCATTTCCTAGAACTTTAAATAAATGAAATCGTACCATTTGGGTTTTTTGCACAAATTTTTTCACTCAGCACACTTTTTTGTTGTTTTTTTGAGACAGAATCTTACTCTATTGCCCAGGCTAGAGTGCAGTGGCACAATCTTGGCTCACTGCAACCTCCATCTCCCGAGTTCAAATGATTCACGTGTGTCAGCCTCCCAAGTAGCTGGGATTACAGGTGTGTGCCACCACACCCAGTTCATTTTTGTACTTTTAGTAGGGACGGGGTTTCACCACATTGGCCACGCTGGTCTCAAACTCCTGACCTCAGGTAATCAGACCTCCTCGGCCTCCCAAAGTGCTGGGATTACAGGCGTAAACCACCGCACCCGGCCAGCATATTTGAGAGTCATCCATGTTGGTATATGTATCATTAGTCCATTTTTTTTTCTAATGCTGAGTAATATTTCACTGGATAAATATACCACAATTTATATTTCAAAAGAAATACACTTCCTTTACGAAGATTCAAATAGGCCAGGTGCAGTCATTCATGCCTGTAATCCCGGCACTTTGGGAGGCTGAGGAGAGAAGATCACTTGAGCCCAGGAGTTCAAGACCAGCCTAGGCAACATGGTGAAACTCCTACAAAATATATAAAAATTAGCCGAGTATAGTGGCTCATGCCTGTAGCCCCAGCTACTCAGGAGACTCAAGTGGGAGGACTGATTGAGACCAGGAGATCAAGCCTGCAGTGAGACACGACTGCGCCACTGTATTCCAGCCTGGGTGACAGAGCAAGACCCTGTCCCAAAAAAAAATAAAATAAATCAAATATTATTCTAAATCAAGTTCAAGTAATATCCTAGGCAGGTTTTACAGAAAATAATAAAGTAGAGGCAAAGGAAAAAATCAAGTTAAATCTCAACTTATAAGCCTAAAACTGGCAGAATATTTCCTGACTTATGACTGTGTTGAGGTTAATAAAAGGCAGGTCATACAATGTGTCATCAAGTTGTTATGTGGATAACACAGCTCTGCTGAACATCCCCCACAAAAACTGAAAATCCTTCTTCCCGAAGCCAAATTAAACATGTACACAGAGATCCTATAAAACAGAAGTTAGCAAATTTTTCTGTAAAGGACCAGAGAGTAAATATTTTAGGCTCTGCAGAACATATACTCTCTGCCACAGCTTCTCAATTGTTTGTCCTTGAAACCTCAAAACAGCCAGAGAATATATGTAAACGAGTAGACACAGGTGTGTTCCACTAAAACTTTATTTACAAAAGTGTTGGGAAAAAGGCTTGTGGGGTGCCATAAAAATATGGGACAATAAGTTGTGGAAAGCCACAATAGGCTTCTGAGGAGGAAAGCCTGCTAATTGCCATCATGTTCCCATACTCAGAGTGAGACCTGCTCTCTTCTCTGTAAACACTGTGTTCAAGGAGAAAGACACTCCTTTGAAACACTGGAATGTGGACAGACGTGCAGGCTCCTAGTTAAGCCCCACTAGCTACTCTCCAGTAAGTTAAAGATACGCTGTTTGAGCACAAAGGAGATTCATTTAAACTGCTATTGCTATAGATTACACTTATGACGTATTGCCTCCCTTTCACTGTTTCACCCTGAACATCTGCTTCTTAGATCTAAGTGACTAAATAAATAGTCTGGAGACCAGAGCTCACTGCCTTTGCAGCCTCCATTATGCAACTGGCCCCCTGACTCCCACCTTTATGAACTCTTAACCTGTCTCTTCTCATTTCTTTGTCACCACCGGACTTCAGGTATCCTATGGGTGGTGTTGAGGCTGGTCCCCAACACAAAAGGAGGTGGCTGAATTTGGCCCTGGACCATAGTTCACCTATCCTTCCTCAAAATTAATACAATATGGGAATATGTCAAGAATTATAAAACTGGGGCCGGGCGTGGTGGCTCAAGCCTGTAATCCCAGCACTTTGGGAGGCCGAGACGGGCGGATCACGAGGTCAGGAGATCGAGACCATCCTGGCTAACACGGTGAAACCCCGTCTCTACTAAAAAAATACAAAAAACTAGCCAGGCGAGGTGGCGGGCGCCTGTAGTCCCAGCTACTCGGGAGGCTGAGGCAGGAGAATGGCGCAAACCCGGGAGGCGGAGCTTGCAGTGAGCTGAGATCCGGCCACTGCACTCCAGCCTGGGCGACAGAGCGAGACTCCATCTCAAAAAAAAAAAAAAAGAATTATAAAACTGGGCATGGTAGTATACACCTGTAGTCCCAGCTACTCCAGAGGCTAAAGCAGGAGAACTGCTTGAGCCCAGGAGTTCAAGATCAGCCTGGACAACATGGTGAGACCTCATTTCTTAAAAATAAATAAATAAATAAATAAATAAATAACAAATTTAAAAATTATAGAGAAAGTTGAGGAGTTGCAGTTTCCACGTTATAGTGGAAACTTTCCTTCAGTTGATCGGGAGCAGTGGTTATAAATGACTCTGCCACTGGGGGATTATCATCTCAAGTTCCTTACCCTTTGATCTTGTTTCCTCATGTGTAAAATGGGGAAAATCTCTTCAATCTATCTCACACAGTCACTGTGAGGAACAAATGACATAAGATAGATGAAACTGGCCGGGCACAGTGGCTCACGCCTGTAATCCCAGCACTTTGGGAGGCCGAGGTGGGCGGATCATGAGGTCAGGAGATCGAGACCACCTTGGCTAACATGGTGAAACCCCATCTCTACTAAAAATACAAAAAATTAGCCGGGCGTAGTGGCGGGCGCCTATAGTCCCAGCTACTTGGGAGGCTGAGGCAGGAGAATGGCATGAACCCAGGAGGCGGAGCTTGCAGTGAGCCGAGATCGCGCCACTGCACTCCAGCTTGGACAACAGAGCAAGACTCCGTCTCAAAAAAAAAAAAAAAAAACAAAAAAAGATGAAAGTGCTTTGTAAATTATAAACATGCTGTAAACCTCAATTATAAAACATAAAGTATCATTTACCATAAATTGTACCTAAAATCCTGAGCACTTTCCTCCCACCCTCTGTATTATATGCCATTCTTCTGCAAAAATGACAATATTTGTCAAAGCTCTGGCAAACCCTATCTTTTATCTTCCAATGCAGCTGCATCAATGAAGGTCATTTCATACAAACAGATGGTGAAATTAGGTTATTCATCTCTGTTCTTTTTCAAAACAATATTCTTACTTTGCCCACTCAGGGTGATTTGCTAGAGTTTCATTAATCAAATTACTTGTGACTTCAATCATGTGTACACTCTCTTGATGTACCTGTATTACGGATAAAGAGAGAAAAGAATCTCAGTAAAAAATAAACCCAATTTAACATTTATTTTTCTACTTTATTATTGGAACAATGCTTTGAGAGCCAAATAAATACACATCTTTGCTTTAATTAATTTAGAAACATGCACCTCAAAGTTACTATACATTATATCTAATGATGCACTCTATGGGAAATAAAAGTACATGCTAGCTCCCTGTTCAACAAATGACTTAAGAAAAAATACATAGATATGTTCGAATACTTGACACATACATGTGCATACATTTCATTCACATGGATATATTGTATACATGTGTTTGTATATCTATGTAAGCAATACCAGCACTTTGTGAGCTAACAGGTTCGTCATGTAGAACCTGTTGACATGTGAGACAAACAGGCAAATAAGGAACTAAGGGTTTTTTTGGGTTTTTTTTTCAGCCCGATTCTCGCTCTGTCATCCAGGCTGGCTGGAGTGCAGTGGCACAATCTCGGCTCACTGCAACCTCCACCTCCCAGGTTCAAGCGATTCCCATGCCTCAGCCTCCTGAGTAGCTGGGATTACAGGCACTCGCCACCATGCCTGTCTAATTTTGTATTTTTAGTAGAAACAAGGTTTTGCCATGTTGACCAGGCTGGTCTTGAACTCCTGACCTCAAGCAATCCACCCACCTTGGCCTCCCAAAGTGCTGGGATTACAGGTGTGAACCACCGCACCCAGCTGCAACTAAGTAAGGTTTCTGAGTAAAAAAAGCCAACAGAAGCTGCACCTCTGAATTTACCTTGCCCAATAACCAACAAAATGAGGGGGATAAAATGGGAATTAACCAGTTGAAAAAAATTTTTTTTCACCCAGGACATCCAAACAAGGAAAGAAACATAATCTGATACAATTTGGCACTCAGCCATCAGGTAAAGAAACAAAACATTCTGGAGCACAACAGAGAGCGTAACAGCTCACTTCTAAACTGACCCCATCACCCAGGAGCCACACAGGTGAGCTGACAATTACAACTCACCGGTAACAGGGAGAAAAGAAGCCACATCCTTATCCTTTTCTGATGACAGAGGGAAAGAAAGTGTAATGAGGGAGAAAAGAACAAATCAGAGGAAAGAGATCAAAGTCCCCCACCCATACCCACCCCTCATCTCTGTCCCTTTCTGCAGTGAAAGTTCCACAGAATGCAAGGAATTGAGCGAGACAGTACAAAGATTGACAGTATTTTTCCATGGGCATGGGTATGAGATTAACCAAGTAGCAAAATCACTAGGGCAAGTCACATACCAACCCAGAACAGACCAGAGTCTAGATATCCTAACAAAGATACATAGCCAGCTAAGCCATCAAGTGATACCACTTCCAATTCTATCAGGCCCCAGAAAAGTAGCAAGAACACAGAATACAAACTGTACCAAGAAGGGGAAAAGAAACTGATTTCAGACACAATGAAGAGATAATCAACTCAGATGCAACGCCTAAAATACAGCCAGAATGAATAAGGCCTGATATGTTCTTGTGAGGACTTACGCTAGCATTTTGTGGGATATGGAAAACGAGATGGCTGTAAACTAGGGGATATAATCTTACTTAGATGTTTAAAGTAAGTTTGGACGCTGTGTTGAAAACACACTAAATGAGGCTAAGGAACAATTCAAGAGAGAACAGGGATAGCTTTGAGCAGGGCAGTAGCGGTACTGAAAAAGAAGTGACTGGATTTGAGAGCTATCTTACATTAACCAACTGTTGGATGTTAAACGGGTTTTACATTCCCGAAATAAACCTCACATAGATACATTTTCCTTTTTACATATTGCAGGATTTAATCTGTTAACGTTTTGTTAAGAATTTTTGTGTCTATTTATAAGGGATATTGGTCTGCAGTTTCCCTTCTGTAAATGCCTTTGACTTTGGTTATCTGGGCAATACTAGCCTCATAAAATGAGCTGGCAAGTGTTACTTCTTTGCTAACTGAACAACATTGTGTAGAACAGGCAGTATTTCTTCACTACATGTTTGATAAAACTCAACAGTGAAACCATCTGGGCCTGAGTGCTTCTTGGTAGGAAGATTTTCAAACACTAATTCAATTTCTTGTCCTCATAGTGGGCTACAATTTTTCTATTTCTTCTTGAGTCTGTTCCATTCCTTCTCTACAAGGAATTTCTCCATTTAATGTTATCAAACTTGTTGGCATAAAGTTGTTCACAATATTCCCTTATCTTTTTAAGATCCGTGAGATATGCAGAGATGTTTCCTCTTTTGTATTTGATATTGGTAATTTGTATCTTCTTTCCTTTTTTCTTCATCAGTCTGGCTAAAAATTTGTCAATTTTATTGGTGTTTTTCAAAGAACCAGCTTTTGAGTTAAAATGTTTACTATTGTATCTCCATTTCAAATTTCCTTCATCTACACTCGACCCTTATTTCCTTCCTTTCATTTACTTTGGATTAATTTGCTATTATTTGCTAGCTTCTGAAGGTGGAAACTTAGGTCACTGATTTTCCTTTTTCAAATATAAGCATTTAATGCCATAAATTTCCAACAAGACCACTGCTTCAGCTTCATCCCACAACTTTTGATACACAGTGACTTTTCTTCCATTTTAAAATCTTCTAATTTCCTTCGAAATTTATTCGATTCAGGTTTAGAAGTATGCTGCTTAATTTCTAAATATTTGGACATTTCCTAAATTTCTATTACTGATTTCTAATTTAATTCTGTGTCAGGAAATGCTTCATTTTTTCTTTTTTTGTTTAAGACAGTGATCTCTGTCACTCAGCCTGGAGTGCACTGGCACAATCACGGCTCACTGCAGCCTCCACCTCCCAGGCTCAAACAATCTTCCCACCTCAGCCTCCTAAGTAGCCGGGACTACAGGCATGTACCACAATGCCCACCTGATTTTTTAAACATAAGGGTCTCCTTATGTTGCCCAGGCTGGTCTCAAACTCCTGGGCTCAAGCAATCCTCCTGCCTCAGCCTCCCAGGTAGCTGAGATAACAGGTGTGTACCACTGTGCCTTGTCTAATACTTCCAAATGTATTGAACATACTGTTTATTCTGGTGAGTATCCCATGTTTTCTTGAAAAGAACGTAATTTCGAATTGTTAATTAGGTCAAGTTGACTGACTGCATTTTTTGGTGTGTGTTTTGTTTTTGTTTTTGCTTTGAGACAAAATCTTGCCTGTCATCCAGACTGAGGTGCAGTGACACGATCACAGCTCACTGCAGCCTCAACCTCCCGGGATCAAGCAATCCTCCCACCTCAGCCTCTCAAGTAGCTGGGACTATAGGCTTAAGCCACCAAGCCCAACTAATTTTTTCTATTCTTTATAGAGATGGGATTTTGTCACGTTGCCTAGGTTGGTCTTAAAACTCCTGGAGTCAAGGGATCCACCTGCCTCATCTTCCCGAAGTCCTGGGATTACAGGCATAAGCCACCACACCCAGCTGACTCACAGGATTTTAAGGCTTCTAAATATCCTTATAATTTTCTAACTACTTATTCCCTCAATTATTGCAAGGAGTATTGAATCCTGAACTATAATCATAGATTTATTTCTCCTCTTAATTCTGAATGTTTGATTTCATGTATTTTAGAGCTCCGCTGTTAGGAGCATATACATTTATAACTGTTATCTTATGGTAATATTAACTCTTATCCATATGAAAAGTCCTTAATTTGCCTCTAGTAGTATTTCTTTTTGACATCTATTTTGTCTGATAATATATAATCAACTGCACGTATTTTCTGTGGACAGTTTACAGTGTATGCTTTTTAATCTTTTTACTATCAACCTTCCTGTGACTTTGAATTTAAAGTGTGTCTCTAACAGATACCAAAAGCAAGTTGGAACTTGCATTTTTTTTTTTTTTTTTTTTTGAGACGGAGTCTCGCTCTGTCACCCAGGCTGGAGTGCAGTGGCCGGATCTCAGCTCACTGCAAGCTCCGCCTCCCAGGTTCCCGCCATTCTCCTGCCTCAGCCTCCCGAGTAGCTGGGACTACAGGAGTAGCTGGGACTACAGGCGCCCGCCACCTCGCCTGGCTAGTTTTTTGTATTTTTTAGTAGAGACAGGGTTTCACCATGTTAGCCAGGATGGTCTTGATCTCCTGACCTCGTGATCCACCCGTCTCGGCCTCCCAAAGTGCTGGGATTACAGGCTTGAGCCACCGCGCCCAGCCGTAACTTGCATTTTATATTCAGTCTGACAATCTCTGCTTTTTGACTGTTTAGTTGCTTCTCATGTAACCTAAGTATTGTCATAACCAGGTCTAGGTCTGCCATTTTGCTACTTGCTTTCTATTTGTCCCATCTCTATTGGTCCTCTGTTCTTCCTGCACTGCCTTTTGTGTTCAACAAATTTTAGTATACCACTTTAGTTCCCCTAATCCTTAGGTTATTTATTGCCTGCTGTTTAACTTATCTAAATCTTATCTCAGCTTTTATCACAACCTACTTCCAGTTAATATTGACTTATATCCAGGAAAATATTTTAAGAACTTCACACCAGTACAGTTCCACTTTCCAGCCCTCTTCTTTGTGCTATGGTTTTATATATGCATAACTCATCTATATATGTTATAAAGGCCACATGAGTGTTTCTGTTTTTCTTTAAATAGTCATATTTGTTTAAATAAACTAAAAGAAGACAGGAGAAAATATAACCCACATATTTTCCAAGTGCTTTCATTCCTTTCTTTGGATCCAGATTATTTTTGGAGTCATTTATCTTCACCCCGAAGGAATTCTGTTAGCTTTCCATATAAGTGCAGGTCTGCTATCAAAAAATTCAGTATCTGTTTATCTAGAAATGTTTTCATTTTGCCTTTACTTTGAAAGAACAGTTTCACTGACTATAAAAGTATTGTCTGACAGAGATTTCTCCCTATGACTTTAAATATGTTACTCCAATGTCTTTTAGTCTTTGCTGTTTATTAAGAGAATTAAGTCACTAAATGTATTGTTCCCCTGTTTGTGATGTGTAATTTTTCTCTTGCTTCCTTCCAGATTTTCTTTTTATCTTTGTCTTTCGGCAGTTTGACTATGATGTAGCTAGGTATGGTTTTGTGTTTGCATGTGCTTATTCTACTGAAGGTTTGTTGAACTTCTTGGATCTGTTAATGTTTTTCACCAAACATGGGAAATTTTTTAGCAATATCTCTTCAAATAATTTTTTCTACCTTTTTCTCTTCCTCTTCTCATCTTCTAGGATACCTATTACATGTCTGCTAGAACGTCTGACATTGCCCCACAGGTGTCTGAGGCTCTGCTCATCTCCAGTTGGACCTGACACCAAAAGCACAGGCAACAACCAAAAGCAAAGGCAAAAACTGACAAATGAAGCTACATTAAACCTAAACACATCCGTGCATCGAAGAACACTTCCTTCAAGAAAAGCTGCAGGTTTTGCTGCCCATGTGAGAACGCCACCTGTTTTTACCTGTAAAGAAAAGGTATCTGTTTTCACTAGCTACAGTAGCAGCTTTTCATCAATGGAAGATCTCCTGGTTGCCTACCTGGTCATTTTCTAATGCTTTTAAATGGTGTTTTAAATAATTTCATGCTGTTTTATTCTTGATTTCTGTGGAAAGGAATTACCTGACATCCTCACCCTGCTATTATCCCAGGACATATTAGTAAAGAGGAGCCAAAAAGGATTTTCTGGCAAACTAGATGTGGATACAAAACAAAGACAGTAGTCAAAGATGATCCTGAGACTTTTCATTTGAGCAAGCAGAAAGAATGGAGTTGTCACTGAACACTATGAGAAGAACAGACAAGCGGAGGAAGGTCTGGAATTCAGTCTCTGACACGTTACATTTGAGATGTCTATTAAACATTCAAGTAGATACTGTCATGAATGTTTCAGAGAATGACAGCTTTCTTGGCCGGGAGAATGAATTAGATAACCAACAAGGTTCCCTCAAAAACTCAGTTTGGATGAATTCTACACCCAGAAAGAAATGGTTCAGTAATACTTGTTATCAAAGTTCAGAGAAGCAAAAGCTCACTGAAGCAGGGGATGAACAAAGAAAAAAGACTTAAAAGATAAAACTGAGATGGCCAGGCAAAAGATGCTACGCAAAGGGACAAAGAAGGAAAAGTAGAATAGAAGTGTAGGAGAGAGGAGAAAGGAAAATGAAAGACCATACTAATGAAAGCTTTCTCTAATGAAGAACTGGAATGTAAGATTACACAGTACCAGGCTTAAGCAAAATATGACAAAAACAAAGCCTCTAAATAAGTCTGCACAGTATATATACAAGACTATACATAATTAATACCCAAGGAACACACAGAAACTATACATAGACTGACACAGAAGTACAAGAAGAGGAGGCTTTCAGAAGCAAATGATAAGATAGCTTGAGGGTGTACTGAAGATGACACTAAGAATAGGACTTCCAAGCGGAGATGCCACTTAAGAAATAATGCAGTTCTTTAGCAAACTGGTTAATTAGATTATCAATTATAGTTACCAACAGGTCTCTATGGGACTAAAGGAATAAAAAAAAATTTGGATCCATGATTTCACATAAGCTTCACCAATTCCTTGAAAACAACATACCAAAATCTGGGTTGTAGAGTTCGATACGGTTCAGATAAAATAAAGATTAAAATGTACTATAAAAGTGGGAGGAAAAAAACTTGTCAGGCTTGATAAGCCTAAAAAAAACAGTAAGAGATATCACTATAAAGATAACATTTTAGGTGTGCTTTACAGAATAATTTTCTTTGATGAGATGGAAATGGGGAAAGGAACTGTAAGCTGGAAGGACCTGGGAAGTGAGAAATAAAGGTGCTATGGTATATATCAGAAGAAGGATCAATGAGACAAGGATGGAATGTGCTAATCAGCAAATTCTGATCTAGTGAAGAGTACTAACCAGATTAGAATTCATGAGACCAGATCCTAATTCTTCTATTAAAAAAAAAGAAAGCGCCACTTGTTCTTCATTATCTCATTTTTTTTCATTTGTATTTCCTCCCAAGGGTTTTGATAAAATAAAAATGCATGTAAAAGAGTTCTGAAAAGAAAAACACTAGGCAAATTCATGGCAAAATTAGTAATATACAAATCATAAATCCTTTAGCTAGTATATATACTTGTAAGTCAAGTTAACATTTTCCATGCTGCTTCTGCTAGCTTTTTATCCAGACTACAATTCTAACAATTAAGGGTTTATTAATGAGAATAATAATTATTGTACTCTACCTTTGCAGTCAGGAGTAGGGCTAAAAGAAGAGTTCCTATCACTAACAAAAATATGATGAAAATGCTAATTATTTTATCTAACATCTTCTCCAACCAGATGATCATCTGCACAAAAATGAAAAAGAGAATTACTTATCTTTAAAGTAGAACTTTAAAAATACAGATACTCAATTATCATAAAGACAAAACAGGATCTTCAGCATGGCAAAGCAAATTATGGCATAATAATTAAAGCAATAAAAGCTTTAAGCAACTTTAAAAACTTCACAGTACTCATTACTGCTGGTGTTACATAGTTTATTACTGTCATAGCTAAGAAAAAGGCAGTCGATTTCAACATAACCTTTATCTATATTCAAATTCTCAAACTGTAGGATATCTATGTTTCAAATTGTAATTTATAACCTGGTAAGTATTCTAAACAAAATATTGACAATCCATTAGCTGACCTAAAATCTCATGAAGCTGTATTATCAGTTTAACAAATATCCAAGACTTTAGCAAAAGTCTCTTATAATACAGGCATGGCCTAAAAAATACAGATAAAATTGGAGCAAATTAAAAGAGGAGTTGCATTCAAAATATTTTTTCCATTTGATATCATTAGAATTACAAAAGCAGTAACAAAGAAAATCGAATGTTAAGGCAATGATAAATAACAAAGATAACAGTTGCCCAAGGAGTGAGGGGTTGGGAGGTGAATGCACAATCAAGGAGGGGCACAAAACACGCTTCAGGTTAATTTGTTTTATTAAGGGGGGAGTCACCGATAGATAAATGGGTATTCTTTACATCTTTTTATGTTTGAAATATTTCATAATACATACTAAAATGCTTTTCAAAATCTGATATTCTACTTAAGTTTCTATTATTCTGAAAACATAAGCTTTATGACATGATTGTAATTGATATAAATTAATCAATACAGTAGCTGTTCCTTAATCAATAATTAAAATTGTGCTTTCCCTAAATGCTATCTGACATTGTCTTGCTATAACTTCCCTCATCTTTCACAACCACAAATAATCCTACATTTTAAACAACTTGTGTTTTCAGAATATATACTTGATAGATTGCTAGAATTCCTTTCATGCAAAGCTACCATCTAACATCTCAAAACTACATTTAACTAGATTAATAACTGCTGAAACACCACAATGCACCGCTCAACCCCAACGTGAGCAACAGCATTGCTTAATAAGTTATTCTTAATTTAGATCTGATTTATGCTCTCTAAACAGTGAATTAAACATCCAAAAGCAAAGAATGTTGGTTGAAAAAACAACATGACTTCTGCAGCATTTACTTTCACTTGACATTTATAAGCTTGTGCCCTCCTTATCTGTTTTTCATCAAGGACACTGTCACTAAGAGATCAACGCTAAAGTGAACTCAAAGATAAAAAGTTAATCTTTAATCTTGACAATTACAGCTTCAAACAGAAGAGTTAATTTTCAGTGCATGCTACCAAAGCATCAAAGACAATGCAGACTAAAAAAAAAGGAATAACAGGTTTCTAAGATATGGAAGGTCAGATGTCATATTCCGAAGTTAAATTCTAAAATCAATGAAACTGAAAACTTTCACAATTAGAAACCAACTGAAAAACTAGTTCCCAAGGCAGCTTCCTGAGGAAAGAGCTAGGTTTGTATCACTTCTCTTTGTATCTCCAAAATCTAAGCGCTTAGCATGTGGTAAGCATTCAATTACTATGTGTTTGAATAAGCAAGCATAAATAAAATAATTTCAAAATTAAGACTATATTTTTAACCACAAATTACAATTTCTGAAAATAATGTAGGAGCCTCTATTTTTTTCAGAAAAGTCATATCCTGAAATGCATTTTTAAATGTAAATATCTATTTAGAAACATGTTTGAGTATTTTTAACATATAAAATTATATTCAAAAGAATATTCAAAAACATATTATGTACATTAACATTACAATATCAAATTTTTTAGTTTTAAGTTAGGGTAAAATTTTTCTAACACAAGCCATAAAGGTAGAAAAAAATTCACAGTCACCTAAATAAAAATGTATATCCAAAGGATGACAGTGAGGGTTGGATGTTTCATTGAAATTTAAAATAAACAAAATTATTTAAGATGCTCAAAAAAGAAGCTAAGAAGTTGTTTTCATCACATGTGGCCAGTTAAGTTAGCTGAGAACAGGGCAAGAAGGGAGACAGTAAGAGAGAGGAAAGAGTGGGAAAGAGAAACAGAGACTAAGACTTATTCAAGAATAAAAGGAAACAGAGAAAGTCAAGAGGAAAAAAAAATGGGGATGGGAGGAGTTGGTACATAAAACTAAGGACCAAAAGAGGAAAAAAAGCAAAGAGGATAAAAAACTTAGGAGGAAAAGATGAACCAACTCCCTGAAAGACTGAATAGTACAAGACTCACAAAGAAACAGCAACTCGGAGAGAGGAGAGAAACAGAAAGAGAGGAAGCAATGGAGAAGGGGACCAAAGGCCAGAGGTGCTATCTCATGAGGCTGATCCTGTCCCACGTTCTGCTTTGGGCAAAGGAAACCAATCCACTTGCCCTCGCATAGAAATTACCAAGTCTCTAAATGTCCCCAATCTTTCCATGCTGAAAGACTGAGAAGTGACTTTAATTTTTAAAGTTTATTTTTCAAAAAGAGAAGAGAAATAATTTTAAAATGACACTCTGAATGTTTCAAATTAGAATGAAGGGCATGCGTTTTTTAAATTTAAGAGATGTCAGTAAATTTATAGTTACACCAAAAGGTACTCTAAAACTTTTACACTAACTGGCCTTATTTATCAAGCTATTAAGAGAGTATTCCACTACCGAGTTTTTCTTCTCTTTCATTATTCTGCGCCTACAGATTTTTCATTTTGCTTTGTTTTTAAACAAAATTCCACTTGAGTTTTAGTGCAAATAATCAATACTAAGAAATAAAACAAGGCCAGGTGCAGTGGCTCACGCCTATAATCCTAACACTTTGGGAGGCTGAGGCAGGCTGATCACTTGAGCTAAGGAGTTCAAGACCAGCCTGGGCAACATAGCAAAACCCCGTCTCTACTAAAAATACCAAAAAAAAAAAAAAAAAAAAAAAAGCCCCAGGCATGGTGGTGCACACCTGTGGTCCCAGCTACTTAGGAGGCTGACGTGGGAAGATTGCTTGAGCCTGGGAGGTGGAGGTTGTAGTGAGTCAAGATCACGTGACTGCACTCCAGCCTGGGTGACACAGCGAGATCCTGTCTCAAATTTAAAAACAAAAAAACAAAAAAGGAAAAGAAATAAAACAAATACCTCTGTGGGTTACATTTCAATTAACCTATGTATGCTCTCTCACCCTCTCTTCTCTCGAATTGGTTTCCTAATTCACTCCACTTGAAATTTCTACATACCAAAATTACCCAGTGCTGCAATTTTCTGACTTTGAGATGTGATGTAATATAACAAAATAGTTCTCAACTTATGTATGTCCTTTCTTGGAATATACCTACTCAAAATCTCAAGCAGTTACTCTATCTTTACACCAATGCTTTACTATGTTACATGGAATCATCAAAGGAAAGAAAAAAGGTACTTGATCTTAGAGATCTTTTAAAATTAACTCAATGATTCAGTTATGAATTAGGCTCATAAATTAGGTAATCTAGCTCATTTAGTCCACTGAAGGTTAAATCAAATTTAATCCAATGAATTTAGTTCTCCTTTCCCCATCTCTTGAGGGCAATTTCATTTCAATATAACACAAATTGAAGAAAAGTACAAAACCACCTACTTTGATCGCTTGAGCCCAGGAGTTCACAGTTGCAGTGAGCTTTCATTGTGCCACTGCACTCCAGCCTGAGCAACAGAGCAAGACCCTGTCTCTAAAAGATAATTGAAACAAATAAAAATTTTTTAGAAACCACCTTCTTTGGTCAAAATTTTAAAACGTGACTTATATTTGCACATCATTTGCCAAGGATTGAACTCGCTTACCCATACTAGTTTTATAGGGAATGGAGATATATATACAACCATGTGAGACTGTGGGAGTGTTTATTTTACATAATGCTTCTTTCCAACCCAAGTTTAAAACTTTAGGTATTGTAAAAAGTCTCCCCTCTCCTCCATTTCAACAGAAAAAAATGAAATCCTAACCCATCCAAAAGTCTCATTTTGATCTATTTTCAAGAAGTACCACATCTTTCTTAAGGCCTGATATAATATTTCCACAAAAGACATATATATAGAGAGAGTTTTATTATGTTTAAACACAACATATATAAATGATGTCATCTCTTGCTATCTGTCCTAGAGATTCATTGAAATTATTATCATTTTTTTAAGAAACAGGGTCTTGCTGTCACCCAGGCTGGAGTGCAATGGTGCAATTATTGCTCACTGCAACCTTGAATTCCTGGGCTCAAACAATCCTCCTGCCTCAGTCTCCTGGGTAGTTAGGACTACAAGTGTGTGCCACCATGCCTGGCTATTTGATTCATTAAAATTAATTTAAACATTACAATATGTGACTATATGTCAAGGTAGAACATTCCTAATATATCTGGATTAGCCTTTACTGAAGTTATTAAAACTGAATTATAATGCCATGCCAATCATGTGAAGCATTTACCATAGATACAACCTCATACCTTGGAGAAAATACAAAATTCGATGTCACAGGTCATGACTACAATCTGTTTTAAGTTAAAAATAAATTTTGAAATACTAGTTATTTAAAAAAAAGACAACATATAAAATTATCTGCCAAGGAAACCATACAAATAATTCACAGATTTGTCTTTTTAAAAAATTCCTGTGTCTTTTATAGAAAAAGTAGCAAACAGAGAGTTCTCTCTTGCCCTTACAATAACTATTGCCTAACGTGTTTTCACACATCAAAGGAGACTAGAATGTCAGGCTAAGCCACATTTACATAACTGAAAAGGAATGAAAATCATTTACAGTGGACAAAAGGACTAGGAGACAGAACTTCTTACACTTGAGCAAGGAGATGCCATCCATATCATAGACAGCCTTTGCTGAGTTTTTAGCAAATTATACTGTGATAGTATTCATGCTTCACGACCTTCCATAGCTTATAATTAAAACTTGAAAACAAAAACTTAGTTTGACACATGGACAGAAACAGTGAGAAAGGCGATACGGGGGCATTACAGAATTCAATAGTAAAAACCAACATCTGGATGTTCATTTACCTTCTTATTTAGCCAGTGCCAGAGCTTGAGGATAGTGGGTAAGGTGAGAAAGAGAAGATAAGAACAGTGGAATATCATTAGAGAATGCAATCACAGTATGAAAAGAAAAGAAAAGGAAAGCATGAGAAGGTAACTGTCCCAGACAAAGGAAAAACTAGGGATGGAAAAACTAACACAATAAAGTTTTAAAATCAAGAGAATTTTAAGATATATAATGATTGAAATGATAACCACATCTTTGTTGGGAATCCAACAATTAAAAATACATAAAATAACCTGCATGCCCATAGGCTTAGTGTCTCCATGCCTTTGCACTGCTCCGCCTGCTTGCCCTTCTGGCCATGTCTACCTAAGAAACTCCCACCTGTGCTTCAAAACTTGCTCCAGGATCATTTCCTCCGCTGCCGTTCCCTTTCTCATACCCTATTAACAGTGAGTCATTTCTTGCTCAGTGCTGCCACTGTATCCTGTACACACTTTTCCTACATAAATTCCTAATACTTACATAGAGCTTACTGTGTACCAGGCAATGATCTAGGGATTTTACATATATTACCTCATTTAACCCTTACCACCACTCTAGGAGGTAGGTTCTATTGTACCTATTTTACTGGTATGGAAACCAAAGCACAGAAAGGTTAGGAAAGTTAATGGATTCATAGTCCATGCTCTTTAACCACTAAGGCTCCAAATCTAACCACCATCTCTGAATTTTTATGAATTGCTGTCTTTCCCCAACAAACAAGGCTTCTGTATCTGGTTTTCCAGGATTCATCTGATTTTCCATAGGACTTAATATAGTATCTGACATATGGGAATTACTCCAAAAATACTCACTAAACTGAGCCACTGCCTAGCTACATAATTTTAGGCAAGTCGCTTAACCTCTCTGGATTTCAATTTGGTCCTAATATAATAAGGGAATTTAATCAGAAGATCCATTTCTCCCATTTTTATGAGGAAAAAATACTTACACAAGCCTTATTTAAAGTAAACCCATCTTATCCTTGTGTAAACCATAATTTTAAATGTTAAACTTTCATCATAGAATTAGATATTACACGTGTTATCAACAGTTACAATATAAACACATGGAATGGAAGATTTCAAACCATGAAATATATTAACTCCATTAAGACAGCCCAAGTCCTTAAAATACAATACCTTGCTATCAACTTTTAATAAGAATTTTCCAAGCCCGACAATGGGCCAAGGTGCGAGAGCCCCCTGCCGCTCCTTCAGGAAGCTTTCTGTAACACCCCACCACACATGGTAGTGTTTCTCCAGGAAGTCCACAACTCCAAAGTGAATGACAAGCTTTTTGAGTATCCAGACTAAAAAAAGGTAAAAAATACAAATATAAACATTATAGATATACATTAACAAGTTGTAACATGAAAAGGTTCCTTAATTTCACATGACCTTTCTAAAATAGTAAAACTAGTATTAAAAAGAAGATCAATGTTAAAATGCAGGGTAGGACTCAAACTATTCCACACAGATGGAACTGGACAATGTAACTTTTCAAACCATCCCCAACTGCCTATATATTATCTTCTTCATGAAGTCTGAATCCTTGAAGAGTCTGGGATTATGTTATGGCCCATATAAACATAAGATACTCTTATTGTGAAGATTTCAGTGACTATAATTCTGGCCCCTCACATATTTTCCCCCTTCCTGAGTAAAGAATACAAAACCCTGACGTTTCCTCATCTCCTTGGCTTTTCAAATTTTCTTGTTTTCCTTGGTTGCTCGTTATTTAGTGACCAGAAAAGCATAAGGTATTCCATACGCATCATGATTTTGTACCACTGCAGAGCAATGTTGTTCCTATTTCCCCATTTGATGCTGCTCTCAACATCTGAACAGATGCCAGGGTTCAATAGAGAAGCAAGCTGAGTACTAGCAGGGCTGCGACAAATGGCCCAAGGCTGTGCACTGCAACTTCAGTGGGGACCACTCTCAGACCACACCATCTCCTCCTGGAGTTGGGCAGTGAAGTGGCCTTCAAGCAGAGGTTAAGCTTCCTGTTAGAAGCCAATTAAGAAGGTGGTAGGGCCAGAAGGAAGTGTTACTCAACTGTGAGGCTTGCCTTGAAGTTTGGACCCTGGATCTCAATCAGTATATAATTTCTCTAACTCTAGAAATTTGTGTTCATAGCTCTGGCCTTATAACCTAAAGGTTCACAATTTGCTGTTTTGAACCATGAGCTCAGTGTTACACACAAGTTCCACAATTTCTTTACTACCATTTTTAAATCCCTAAAAAAGTCCTAGAAGAGCTCCTATAGTTTCACTAAGTCCAGGTAATTACAAGCTGTAGAAAAGCTTTTAGGGGCCACATTATTCACAGCCTGCTCTCCCAAGATCATGTCAAATTCCTATGGTGACCAGAAGATGAAGCTACAACTAAGAGAAATGAAATTCCTGCTAACAAACTTTAAGGAAAAGAGAGTTGCAACAGCATCTGACAGAGTTTGCCAGCAGAGTAAAATCATCTGGAAAAAAACAAAGTATGGAACAATCTAGAAGAGCAATTTAAACTGCTCCACTCAGTTTAACAGGAAGCATGGCGATGGTATCTGCTCTCTGACTTGCTTAATTAAAGCTGTATCTTATTCGAACTGCCTAACAGAAGTTGTTTGAGGACACAAGAACCAGATATAGGCCGGGCACGGTGGCTCACACCTGTAGTCCCAGCACTTTGGGAAGCCAAGGTGGGAGGATTGCTTGAGTTCAAGAGTTTGAGACCAGCCTGAGCAACATGGCAAACTACAAAAAATACAAAAAACACAGCCAGTGGTGGCCAGGTGCAGTGGCTCACACCTGTAATCCCAGCACTTTGGGAGGTTGAGGTGGGCGGATCACGAGGTCAGGAGATCAAGACCATCCTGGCTAACACAGCGAAACCCCGTCTCTACTAAAAATACAAAAAATTAGCCAGGCGTGGTGGTGGGCGCCTCTAGTCCCAGCTACTTGGGAGGCTGAGGCAGGAGAATGGCGTGAACCTGGGAGGCGGAGCTTGCAATAAGCCGAGATCGCATCACTGCACTCCCACCTGGGCAACAGAGCAAGACTCTGTCTCAAAAAAAAAAAAAAAAGCCAGTGGCACGCACCTGTAGCCTCAGCTATCTGGTGGGGGACTGAGGCAGGAGGATCACTTGAGCCTGAGAGATCAAGGCTGTGGTGACTGAGTGACAAAGCGAGACCCTATCTCAAAAAAAAAAAAAAAAAAAAACCCAGATACACACTTCAACCATTTATATTGTATGCTCCCTGAGGACAGGCACTACTATACTGTGCTCTGGTCATAATAAATGTTAAAAAAATAATGCCTATTCAATTAACTATCCAATTTAGTGAGGAAAAATAAAAATAAGTGATGAAAACTAATGATCTAGAAGGTAAATGCGCCAATAAGTTTAGACTTTTAGACTACGGTGGAGAATAGCTTTCAAAAATCAGATTACGTTTTAATCAATATGAAAAACCCTGACATAGGAAATAAGGAGTAATCAAATGTAGGAGGTACCCAGATGGCAAAATCCACAGCAGCCATTGAGGACTCAATGAATTTGGCACAAAATATGGCTGCCGCAAGAGGAAAGCCCAAATAATCAGGAAAGTATTAGGTAAAAGATGTTTCTACAATGCACCTGTCAGAGAAAACTCTTCTTTATCTAGTCTTAGAAGAAAGACAGTTTTAGACAGAATTAAAACTGGTGGGCCTTAAATTACCACAGCATTAAGATACAAAGACCTGATTTAATGGATTATGGAAAATCAGGATTCCATTTTGATGTAATACATATAATATATACATACATGTAATTTAATTTTTCTGTCAAACAAATCACAAGACTTTACATACATATATTTCTCAAAACCTACATTTCCTTTGAATTAAAAAGGCAAGGTAAAATGTGCTTCCCTAAGAGTAGCTCTCAAAAATCATTCAATCTCAGCTGGGTGCAGTGGCTCACTCCTGTAATGCCAGCACTTTGGGAGGCGGAGGTGAGCAGATGACTTGAGGTAAGGATTCGAGACCGGCCTGGCCAACATGGTGAAATCCCATCACTACTAAAAATACAAAAAATTAGCCAGAGGAGGTGGCGCGTGCCTGTAGTCCCAGAAACTGAGGAGGCTGAGGTGGGAGAATCATTTGAACCCAGGAGGCGGAAGCTGCAGTGAGCCGAGATCGCGCCACCGCAATCCAACCTGGGTGACAGAGCGAGACTCCATCTCAAAAAAAAAAGAAAAAAAAATCATTCGATCTTCAAATTCCAAAACACAGATTGTTAACATTCTCCTCCACAGAATCATGGATGGCTAATCAGTCAAATCTCTACATGGAGCTATTAATCTCAAATACTACATGAAACTGTAAGAGGCTAAACACATTTTCTGAGCTTAAAAGTGAAATATTGGCTGGGCGCAGTGGCTCACGCCTATAATCTCAGCACTTTGGGAGGCAGAGGTGGGCAGATCATGAGGTCAGGAGATCGAGACCATCCTGGCTAACATGGTGAAACCCTGTCTCTACCAAAAACAAAAAAAATTAGCTGGGGATGGTGGCGGGCACCTATAGTCCCAGCTACTTGAGAGGCTGAGGCAGGAGAATGGCGTGAACCTGGGAGGCGGAGCTTGCAGTGAGCCAAGATCACGCCGCTGCACTTCCACCCTGTGTGAGACTCGGTCTCAAAAACAGAAAAAAGAAAAAAAAAGTGAAATATTAAAGATGCATCAAAATAATAAATTAACAAAATGGTGTTTACTATTTAAATGCAAACGTAAGACTGTTTTACTTTGCAAGACAGTAAATTTATCTCAAATATTAAAATCCAAAAGTAAAAAAAGAAGAAAAAAATCTTCAAAGACAAGACAAGATCGTACTTAACCAGATAACAACCTGCAATCGGCACTGGCAGCAACTGTACAATCCACAGGTTCAACCAGATCTGCACGACGACAATGGCCCAAACCAGAGAAACGAAGTAGATGTCACTAGTTTTCTTCTTTCTAAGAAATGTTCCTATTTCAGGCCTTCGTCTGCCCAGAGTGGGTGAAGGGGAAGTGGGTGAAGGGGAGGAGGGTGAAGGGGAGGTGGACAACGTTGGAGGGGATTCTCCCCTGTCCAATGCTTCTGAAAAGGGAAAGAAAAACACCACACACCGTATTAGTCCACATGAGGAAATGGGATACAGAGCCACTCGTTAGGCTAGCCTGTTTCAGGCCTTCAAAATGTGCTGATATGGTATGATTACACTGGGTTAAAAAAGACAAAATTATTTGGACCCATGTTTGCATATGCACTGAAAAACGTGGAGAATCACAATGCCAACAGAGCTTGAATCTAGAAGAGTAAGTTAGCTGGTGATAGAATTGGGAGTCATTAAAACAAAATACATGACAAAGTAGCTGAGAATTATAATTATCCCATAAAACTTATTCAAACTATTTAAAGAAACAAATGCTAACATATACTAGAAATTCTATATTTAAAAATCCCTCTTCTTTTAATAGAACTTTAGATTAGATGTATTTATAACCGTTTCTGACACAAGAAGACTTTTCAGTGTTATTTCACCTAAAATGGAACGAACTGATCTTACAAGAACCCAGGGCTTTCAAACAGATAGAAGATATAAAACATGAGTGAGATACAAAAACAGTGACAGATTTCTCGGGTGAGGATTTTCAAATAAAGGAAACCATACTGGATTATTTCACATAAGACACCATTTCCTAACAATACAACCACCATGTTACGTTTTACTATAGGGTGTTATTATTTCTATTTCCTAGTTTTAATAAGATATACCACATACATCAGAAATTACATAACTCCTAAAGCAGTATTACTCTATATATACTATAATAATGAAAATTATTAAGATCCTAAAACTTGCATTTTGCCTTTCATTAGAAAAAAATGTTAATTACAATAAAGTATGTCATGTTGAACATGTGGATTGTTAATTACAAAAGTATCATATGTCAGAAAGTCTAGAAAAAAGAGAAAAGAAATAAGAACTCCCATAATCCCAACCTCACATTTTCCCCCTGGTCTTTTACTTAGTCGTAGCATGTTCTACTTATCCTTTCTCATTCTTTCTCTTCAGCTGAACGTCAGCTCCACCAGAGCTAAGACCTTGTCTATTTTGTTCTCCCTCCACTGAATTCCTGGCACATACAATAGTATCTCATATGCAGGAGGTGCTCACTAAATATGTAAATGAATGACTTCCCTGTTGTTTCATAATTTTCATAAGCAACCACCCACACAGTAGCCCACTAAGTGCTGTATCATAATTTCCTTAATGTTTTTCATGTTAAATGTTCAGTTATTAATAAATTTTTACTACTGAGAACACTTGCACCCTGGTAAGTCAGCTCACCTCACCAGGACCAACATTCTACCCTTACAAGTTCAGGGCTAAAGCCCAAGCTAGTTAACAGATGCTTTTGTTTGACTCTGCTCTAAGTAGCTTTCTAATTTGGAAACTTCATGTTGGTGGGTGTGACAGATATTTGGAAGAAAGAGTCCAAAACCAAAACATCATTTCCTCTCCACTTTGGAAACATAATTCCATGTGCAAGAAAAATAAGTGTTCCTACTACACCAAATTCCTTTCTCTTAGCTGACATTTCAAAAGTCAGTTCTTCAAGGAGAATTCACTCTAAATATTGCCTAACTCCAAATACCTCTGGCACTAATGGACCTCTAAGCACAGACTAAGGTGGCCTTTTACATTCCAGAACTCTTCAAGAGAACAGCATGACTCTATAGCTGGTATATCTACCAGCTGGATCCCTCAGGAGCCTGCAATTCCCAAAGCCAGGCCACACATGACAATGAGTCCAAAACAATCAGAGAGGTCTGTTTTAGGGGTCAACATATTAACACATGAAGCATGCAAACTTTCAGAGAAAGAATGACAGAGAAATGGATGACTGCAACATGGAAAATAAAAGTCCTCCCCAAAAAGAGAGCTGGGAAAAGGGAACAAAAGAAAGAAAAAACAACAGGAAGAGACAGGGTAAAATAAAATCATGGAGGAGAACTGACAGTTGTAGAAGAAAGAAATGGAAAATAAGAAATCAAGATAAGATATGCAAAAAGTGGAGGGAAATGTGGGAAAGGTAAATGGAGACTGAGAAAAGGAAAATAAAAAGAAAGGAATGAAGAACAGAAGAAAAATAAGAAAAGCCTTTTTTTAAAAAGGAAAGAACAAAGAACTAAGATCAGAAACTCAAAAAGGTAAATAATTAAATGTATTTAAAACATGATATATGAGAACGAAGATGAGAGGGAAAAGGGCATAAAAAAAGGAACCAAAGAGAATAAATGAAGGATCAGCAGAAGTAGCATTTTGTGATGCTAGTGTCCTAAATTTTACATTCTATGTACATTTCATTTTCCAGAATAACCTTGAATGTCACCAGAACATCAGTCACCTGCAGGCTGAGTGGAGAGCTGGTCTTCACTGCTTGATTCATACCCTGTGATAGAGATGGCCAAGTTTGCCAGAGTAGAAGCTGCCATGGAGATAACCTGCCCTGGTAACTCTGCCCCTGTAAAAGAAGCATCCATTTTCAAAACTCTTTAAAGTGGGAAATAATGGCTGCAAATTTAAACACAGTCCAACGTTTTCAACAACAACAAAATAAAATGGTTACTACTGACCCACTGAATAAGTGGTTCTTCACCAAGGAAGAACCATTAAGAATCGACATGAGAGTGTGCTAAAAAAGCAAATCCCTCGACTTTCTGTATACCTTTCTCCTTTGGGAACTTCATGCTGGTGGATGTGGCAGACACTACACATGTAAATTTGGAGTCCCACACTTATATTTGTTAACAAGTTGATTTTAATGCATACTTCTATTGAAAAACACTACCACATCAAGTCTGTGAGCTCCCTGATCTGTCTTAGGCTGTGTTGTATGACTAGGTCTCATCTTAGTACAAGACAGCCCACATTTGGTGATCATAATAAAAACATTCCACAAATGAGTATGCAAATATATGGGTATTATGCAAAACCATATAGATCTATAAATTACATAACTCAGTACAGGCAAAATCTACCACTTTAAAATCTAAAGGAACAACATGACCTTGTTTCATGTTATATATTTCCATGTTAAATTCCTAATAGGTAGTGCCAACCTCAATCATTTGCACTAAATTCAAGCAAAACATTCACTGGCAAAGGAGGTCTGTCAACCTTTAACCTTCTACAGCAGACAAGGAAGAATAGCTCACACATCATCAGGTTCTAGCACACTTTCTTGCACACTAGACTGGAGAGCTAAAAAATTGTATTTCTGGATTCCCCTGTAGCTAAGGTCTCACACGTGACAGTTTCTAACAAGCAGGTACACCTGTGCAAGACTTGAGAGCCTGAAGTGGCACACTGTAATCTGGAAGCCACAGAGCTCTCGCGTCAAACACAGTCTGTCAGGAAGGCATATAGTTTTTCTGCAGCAACTTAGCAGAAGTTCTGATGTCTGATCTCTAACTTCACGGTGAGCAGCAGCAGCCGTGGCCCTCTGCCCAGACAGTCCTTCAGTGTCACTGAGCATTTCTCCTGATTGCACTGCTTCTGCCTGTGTCAGATTCCAAGATTAGTTGTCTGGTCTTTCCAGAAATTCCATGTGCAAAAATTGTAAGCGCTAACCAATACCTCCTACTATTTATTTAAACTACCTGGAATAGATTCTATTGTTCACAACTAAGAACACTAGCAATTCCTAGTCACCAAATCATACACCCACACTCATACAACTGAGACATTATTTTTGGTAGGCCAAGACTCAGTATGGTAACATAGGATTCTGCCACGCCAATGAAAAGAGCCACGACCCTTCAGAAAGCCGATGAATTTCAGCTCCAAATTAACTCCACACACCCAAATATCCAAGGCTGGCCCTCTCCCAGAAAGCAGCAAGCCAGAGCCTGAGGTGGGGCTCTTTGGTAGATTCAGACATCAGGATAAGAGTACTCACCTTGCTCAATCATACCCTGTCCCTCCTCTAATAAATGCCCCTGTGACCTGAAAGAGTTTATTTTTAGATATGGTATCATATCTCTCAATATTAGAGAAATTCAAACTCATGGTCTGAGAGGAAAGCATAAGTTAGATTTCTGGATTAGGACCTTACTCTCCTGGCCTGTGTATCCAAGGTCCTCCTGAAATGCCAATAAGACAGCAAGGGTTGACAGAGAAAAACGGTCTTTCATTTCTTACATGTACTGTGTGCTGGGGAGAAAGACACAGACCCTGCCCCCAGGGAGTCTAGTAAAAGACATTAATTAAAGAACCACACAAATAAACGTGTGTATACAAATTATGGTTGCTATAAAAAAAAAATCCTGGGTATCTTGTGACATCCTAACAATATCCTGGGCAGAAGGAAAGCTGTGAGAAGAACCCAGCATATTGAAGACAGTGAAAGAAGGTCAGTGTGTCTGGAACACAGACAGCTAGTAAGAAACTGGTATCAAATAGACAAGGCTGGAGAGGTAAGCCAGATGATGCAGATCACAGAACACTGTATGAAGGACTTTAGTCTTAGAATATTCTAAGAGGAAAAAGAAAGCACTGAAGAGTTTCAAACAGGATAGTAGTCTTTTTTTCACTGAAATTTTATTGAGATAAAAGTATACTCATATGCAGTTGCAAGAAATAATCCCAGTGTACCACCATTTGTCCAGTTTCTCCTGACACAAGATACAGAACAGCATCATCACTACAAGGTCTCTCATGTTGACCTTTTATAACCACACTCAACTGCCTCTCACCCCTCTCACCACCCTGTAAATAAATAACCCGTTTAAGATATAAGACCATTCCTGCTTGTCTGGAGAAAGAGAGACTAGAGGGGACCTATAATGGGTACAGGGAGATAAGTTGTTGCAGTACTATAGGAAAGACATGATGCCAGCATAGTCTATAGCCACAACAGGAGAGATGGGGAAAAGTGGCTGCGTTAAAGAAACATAGAAGAGTCAAAGTGGACCACACTTGGTGAGGAAGCAATAAAGGGAATCAAAGAGATGATGGTATCCAGGTTTCCAGACTATGGTTAGATAGAGAACATGTAGCAGAACTGGATGAAGATTTTTGGCATATTAGAGTTATTTTTAGACTTTCAGATAGAAGTTCCACAAACAGGCTGGGTGCAGTGGCTCATGCCTGTAATCCCAGCACTTTGGGAGGCCAAGGTGGACAGATCACCTGAGGTCAGGAGTTCGAGACCAGCCTGGCCAACACGCTGAAACCCCGTCTCTACTAAAAATACAAAAATTAGCTGGGCATGGTGGCGCATGCCTATAATCCCAGTTACTCAAGAGGCTGAGGCAGGAGAATCGCTTGAACCCGGGAGGCAGGGGTTGCAGTGAGCCTAGATCACGTCACTGAGCTGAGATCACATCATTCAGCTGAGATCACGCCAGTGAGCCAAAATCAGACCACAGCACTCTGCCTGGGTGACAGAGTGAGACTGTCTCACAAAAAAAAAAGAAAAAAGTTCCACAAACAAACTGACCTATACCAGAGATGGAGCAAGACTTAGCTTCGCAGCAGTACACCCAGGGGGGATCTTTTAGGCCCCACTCAAGAGCAAAGTTTGGGAACACCTCATGGCCTGGGACAATACAGTAGAAAAAGGAAAAACAAAAACAAAGACCTTCAGGTCAAAAATTTTAAAAATTAAGAATTCTCTCTTACATAAGATTACAGACTAGTCAAGGGTCTTGAATTACTAAACTGGCCTCTTCAAGAGTAATTTAATTAAGTGGTCACTCTTCGTCACTCATCTAGAGACACTGTAAGAAAAGTAAGTCCCGGCCAGGCACGGTGGCTCAAGCCTGTAATCCCAGCACTTTGGGAGGCCGAGGCGGGCGGATCACAAGGTCAGGAGATCGAGACCACAGTGAAACCCCGTCTCTACTAAAAATACAAAAAATTAGCCGGGCGCCGTGGCGGGCGCCTGTAGTCCCAGCTACTCAGGAGGCTGAGGCAGGAGAATGGCGGGAACCCGGGAGGCGGAGCTTGCAGTGAGCCGAGATCGCGCCACTGCACTCCAGCCTGGGCAACAGCGTGAGACTCCGTCTCAAAAAAAAAAAAAAAAAAAAAAAAGAAAAGTAAGTCCCTGGCCGGGCGTGGTGGCTCACGCCTGTAATCCCAGCACTTTGGGAGGTCGAGGCGGGCGGATCACAAGGTCAGGAGATCAAGACCATCCTGGCTAACATGATGAAACCCCGCCTCTACTAAAAATACAAAAAATTAGCCGGGCGTGGTGGCGGGCGCCTGTAGTCCCAGCTACTCAGGAGGCTGAGGCAGGAGAGTGGCGCAAAACCAGGAGGTGGAGGTTGCAGTAAGCCAAGATCACGCCACTGCACTCCAGCCTGGGCGACAGAGCAAGACTCCATCTCCAAAAAAAAAAAAAAAAAGAAAGAAAAAGAAAAAGAAAATTAAGTCCCTTGATGGTTTTTGCAAAATAACAAGATCATTGGATAACTCTTCAAATAATGGACTTTCAGTTCAGCTGCATTTTAACTTACATTTCTAAATGCCTACTAAGCATTCACTCACCAAATAGGCGAATAGGCTATATGCTGATATAAGAAACTAAGACCCTGGTCTCAAATTCAGTCTGATACTTAAGAGCTAATGTAAAGTAAGTGTAAACTGTTAGGGAGTAGTTTAGAAATCAAACCCATGCGGGGAGGTCTGGGAAAGGTTTCCAAAGGAGCTGTCTGACAAGAATATTGAAAGATGCCATCCTTTAAATCCATTTTAACAAAAGTGAGCTAGATAAAGAAGACAGAACAGTTCTACCTCGGAAAGGAAGCTCCTGAGAGACTGGTGTCTTAGAGGGCAGGGGGAGAAAAGTGTTTCAGGAAGACAAAAAAGCAGGTGTGAAGACACAAAGGCAAGCAAAAGCAGAGTGTCCTCTTCAAAGAACTCTAGGAAGTTCAATCAGGCCGGAAGATAGTGTGAATGAGAACAGCAGAGTAGCATAAGAACGCAGAGGGAAGCTGGGATCCGGGCACGAAAGGTCTCACATTTACTATGAGGAAGCAGCACGATTCAGTGGCTGGAAGCACAGGTGAGGAAAGAAGACTCCCCAGGTTCAAATCCCAGGTCTATTCTTACTACCTAGATGGCTATAGGCGAGTTAGTTAACATCAAGATGTCCCAGTCTCCTCATGTGTAAAAATGAGGCTTACATAAATTTGTATCTAATGTGACAATGAAGTGAAACAATACATATAGAATGATGGCTGGGCACAGTGGCTCACACCTGTAATCCTAGTACTTTAGGAGGCTTAAGGCAGGTAGATCAACCGAGGCCAAGAGTTCTAGACCTGCCTGGCCAACATGGTGAAACCCCATCTCTATTAAAAATACAAAAGAATTAGCTGGGTGTGGTGGCATGCGCCTGTAATCCCAGCTTCTTGGGGCTGAGGCAGGAAATCACTTGAACCCGGGAGGCAGACGCTTCAGCGAGCCAAGACGGCACCACTGCACTTCAGCCGGGGCGACAGAGCAAGACTCCATGTC